TGGCTGGCCTTGAACTCACAGAGATCCACCTGCCTCTGCCTCCCAAGAGCTGCATGCACAGGCACATGAGCATACACAGACCCAAGTGCTGGGATTAAAGGCGTGTGCTGCCACACCTGGCTCTCTTCTCTCTCTTTGAGACAGGGTCTGAGTGTGTAGCCCTGGATAGTTTAGAACTCAAACTCAGAGATTCACCTGCCTCTGGTCTTTGGAGCGAGTGTGGGTTTGGGGGATCACTCAGGTCATCAGGCTTGGCAGCCGGTGCCTTTACATACTGAGCCATCTTGCCTGGCCCATGGCCTTGAACTTCTGAATCTCCTGCCTCCACCTCTCAAATGCTTGTACAGACATGCACACTAGTCCAGCTTTTTCCCTCCACCAATTTCTAGTCTTCTGGTTTTTGATTAGCTCGGCGAGCTATAATAACTTCCAATTTATTTGGATGAATAATCTATGGAGAAAATTGGTTCCATGTTATAACCTGACATGCTGCTAAGGGACATCTGAATGACCTTGGGTTCACCCTACAGCATGCTTTGACATCTTAGTCTCTCTTTTCTATCCATCACCCAGGCTCTGCCCTTTATCCAGCTCTTCCCTGGCCTCCATGATGCCATTCCCTCTCTCAGTCCCTCCTTGGCTCCCCACTGCCTCAGGATAAAACCTAAGCTCCTTGATTTGACCTTGTGGGAGTTGCTCACCGCTCTCCATCATCTCCCCAGACCTCTGGCTTCTCTCCCTCTCTGCCTCCCTGCTGGGCTTTTTCCCCCTTCTGGACTGGGATCCACTGCTACTGGAGGAAGTGATAGAAATGGAGGTGAGCTTCTTCTCCTGTGCTCTCTGTGCATTAATTTGGAGTCAATGACTTTGCATTCAGATTTCCTCTATGCTGTTTCTCAGCTCTCTCTGATCCTAGGCAGGTCTCAGGCTCACTCTTAGGTTTTTGGTTAATTTGTTTTTGGTACTGGAGATTGAACCCAGGGTCTCACTAATTCAAGGTAAATATTCTACCAACCAAACTGCAGCCTGTTGATCAAAAATTAAAAAAAAAAAATTGTATGTTTTTGCCTGCATGCATGTAAGTGCATCCATATATGCAGTACCTGTGGAGGCCAGAAGAGGCCAGAGCCCCTGGAATTGGAGTTTCAGGATGGCTGTGAGTCACCATGAGGGTGCTGGGAACTGAACCCAGGTCTTCTGGGAGAGCAGCCAGTGCTCTTAACTGCTGAGCAGTCTCTCTAGCCCCTCAAACAAAATATTTTTTTGTTGTTCTTTTGAGACAGGGTCTCCCTGTAGCATCAGCTAGCCTGAATTCACTATTAGGTCAGGCTGGCCTCAGCTTCACAGAGATCCACCTGTCTGCCCGCTGAGTGCTGGGATTAAAGGGGTATACCACCACATCCAGTGTGATCTTTAAAGACACAAAATATGTTGAAAAATCTCCTGTAATTCCAGCATTGGGAAGGCAGAGATAGGAGAACTGCCTCAAGTTTGAGGGTAACCTGGTATCCAGAGAGCTCCAGGCCAGCCTGCTGTACATAGCAAGTTCTAGGGAAGCTGGAATACAGGGAGACTTTGTCTCAAAACAACAACAAAAAACCCGGCTGGAGAGATGGCTCAGAGGTTAAGAACCATGACTGCTCTTGCAGAGGACCCAGGTTCGAAACCCAGCACCCACATGGCAGCTGGCAATTGTCTGTAACTCCAGTTCCAGGGGATCCAAGGGCCTCTTCTGTCCTCCTCCGACATTGCACGAAACAAGTACACTTACTTACATGCAGGGAATACAGGCTGAGGCAGCTGGATCTCTGTGAGTTCAAGGCCAGCCTGGTCTACACAGTGAGTTCCAGGTCAGCTGGGGCTACTGGGAGACGCTGTCTCAACAAGACCAAAAAAAAAAAAAAAAAAACACCAGGCGTGGTAGTGCATGCCTTTAATCCCAGCGCTTGGGAGGCAGAGGCAGGCGAATTTCTGAGTTCAAGGCCAGCCTGGTCTACATAGTGAGTTCCAGGACAGCTGGGGCTGCAGGAGACCCAGAGACCCTGTCTCAAAAAGACCAAAAAAAAAAAACCCCAAACAAACAAACAAACAAACAAACAAACAAAAAAACCCCCAACAAAACAAAACAAACCCAATACAGAAAAACAAACAAAACAAAAAACACCACCCAAAATATAACCACAACTTCCTCCAAAGTAAAATCTTCCAAGCTGATTCCTTTGCTGTTTTACCTCCAAATTCTCAAATATTTATTACAATTAAAAAAAATAAAATTTAATTTTACATGTGTGTTTGTCTGCATGTATGTAAGTGTCCCCAGGCATGCAATGCCAGGGGAGGCCAGAAGTTGGATGCCCTGGAACTGGAGTTACTGTCGGTTGTAAGCTGCCAAGTGGGTGCTGGGAACTGAACCCCGGTCCTCTGCAAGGGCAGCCAGTGCTCTTAACCACTGAGCTGGCTCTCCGGCCCTTATTTTTGGAATAACAGGGTCTCAAGTAGTCCAGGCTAGTCCTAAGCTCTGTAATGTCGTAGAGACTGGCCTTGACCCTCCTGTCTCTATCTTCCAAGGGCTGCGACTGTGGGAGTGGACCAGCACACCTAGCTGGTACATTTTAACACCTTGCAGGCTTCCATAAATATCTGAGGGGGCTGCAGGGTGCTCAGTGGTGACGTGCCATCTCCAGCACTGGGCCGCGGGGGACGGGGGCGCGTACTCCCTCCTGGGCGGGACCAGGCCGGCCACGCCCCCGGGACGTGCGGCTTCCGTCTGGCTCTCTGCGGACCCAGCGGGCGGCCCCAGGGCGGAGGCGCTGGCCCAGACAAGCCGGAGCCCAGGTATGGCCGCGGTGGGGGTGGGGGTGGGGGAAGGTAACGCTTTCCTTCCCGTGGCGGAAGCCAGCCCTGTTCTGCTGGCAGCCTTGAAACTGTCACCCTCCCGTCCCCACATCCCCGGTGCTGTCCCCAAGAGTCCAGCACGGTGGTCAACACATGCGCTTGACAGCCAGGCATCAGGTTCAGATGCCTTCCGGCCCGGACCAAGCTTGACTGCCGCGGTTTTCATTTTCGTTATCTGTAAAAACGTTGGTTTACATAGTATTGTTACAATTTTTTGTTTTTGTTTTGAGACAGGGTCTCATGTAGCCCAGGCTGGCCCTTGAACTGTCCATGTGGTGGAGGACTTTGAACGGATCATACTGCCTTAGCCTGAGTGCTGAGATTATAGCACATGCAGCATGAGGAAACATGCTTTTGTTTTTGGAGATAGGGTCATGGCTGGCCTGGGACTTGCTATGCAGACTGACCTCAGCTTGTGGTGATCCTTGTCTCTGCCTCTCAAGTGCTAGAACAACATGCATATACCACCACTTCCACATGGGGCTATGATGGACTATTTCTAGAATAGGAGCAGAATGCTGGTAAGTTCGGAGTGCTGGGGTCTCTTCAGGGCTGGCTTTCCCCTTACTGCCCCTCCTGCAACCAGGGGAGACTGAGGCATGGGGAGGATACAACAAATCAGGGCAAATCTATTTTGGACCAGCTTCCCAAAAACTCACCCCCACCCAAGGGTGAGGTTGGTACCACGCCTACCTGAAGCTCTGCCCAACCACCCATCCCACCTCCTAGTGTGCAGGCCCAATGTGTGCCGGCCCAGTGCCATTTTTCCATGGGACTCAGGGGTGGTGGCGGCTCACATCTGGAGTCTAGACTCCGAGGCTCTGCCGACTGGGCCTACTGCCCAGGCTGGGCCCCGCTGCCCGCTGTTTGCTCAGCTGAAGCTGGTTAATTGGAACTGGAGTGTCCTGTGTGGCTGGCCCAGCGGGCCTTGATCAGCGCTGCGAGGTCTGTGGAACATCTGGCGGGGGCCAGGATGGTCATTAGGTGGCAGGCGCCACTGCCACCTCAGCCTCTGCTGGGGGTCGGCGATGACTCAATGAGGCCTTTGTGGGATGTGGGCCACAGAGCCAACCGCACTGTGTGCCTGGGCCGCCTGCCCCATATGCCGCCCTCAGAGGGGCTTTGTTCCAGGACCACACGCCTCCCCCTGGAGGCGGAATGCGCCGGCGGAGAAGCCCCTGAAAGGGACCCCCAGGCTGGAGAAGTCTTTGGGGTTTCCTTTTCTCCTCTCCATCCTGGAGCTCAGAAAAGTTGGGTGGCTGACTGAGAGAGGCCCAGCACACCAACCAGGGTGATCTAATCCCAAGGGACAGGCAAGCGGTGGCATGGCACTTAGGAACTTGAGCCTGATTTACACTGCTTAAGGTCACATCCATGTCTGCTGGCAAGCTGCCCCAACTTCCCCGGCTGTAGTGTGGGGCTAACAACACAAGAGCTTAGGACTCTTAAGTGCAAAGTGGAATGCTGCATCAAGATGCGTGGCCCACATCTGCACCAGTGAAGCTTCAACCCCCAGGTTCTGGGCATGTTTGAGCCTGAACCTCGGTCAGAGGCAGGCCTGAGTGGCCACTCTTTCCTGTCAGTTTCCCCACTGAGACCCACCCTGAGAGGTGGGTAAGGGCTGTGTTGCTCACTCCTTGTCCTCTGGGGTTTTCCTGAAGGTCAGGGGTGAGGGAAACTCTGTCTCTGAAATCTCTAACTCCAGGGTCTCAAATGTCTCTCCCAGGCACTGGGGCCTAATCTCTCTCCACCTCAGGCTCTCTGAAGACCTGGACCTTATTTTGGGAAGAATGGCAGGAATGAGCAGAATGGGAGATAGGGCTTTGATTTCCAGCCAGATGGACAGCAGACCCAGGGAAGCTGTCTGTGGTTACTGGTCCCTTGCTGAGTCAGGCTGGCTCTATGGTAACTCTCTTCACCTTTCACGAAGGCCAAGGGGCAGGGGGCACAGTGAACACCTGCCCAACACCTTCACTGCCCCCAAGTGTTCTAAGATGGTGAGGAGGGCTCATGGTCTGGAATTGGGGTGGGCACCCAGGATGGGGCTTGCAGAGAAGTTTCTGGATAGCAGGTGAGACCTAGTGAGATTAGTACATGACATTAGGTGAAGATGCTTAGAACCCTGGAAGAGCACAGCAGGCCCTTCAGCCATGGGATGAGTTTTTAATGTGAGGAAAAGTCAGTCCACAATACAAAAATCAAAAATCCACACCCAGTTCCCACCTGGCTCCTGGGGAAAGAGGAAGCTGAGGGTTTCCTTTGCCTGCAGGGAATGAGGAGCAAAGGGGAGGCCAAGGAAGGGGGGAGGGAAAAAGGCTGCAGAGGCCCACCCCCATCCTGAAGCCGCCTTCACCTCCTGCAGGAGTCCTCTGCCTGTGTCCCCTGCAGGTCACTGCAGGTCCCACTATCTGGTCTGGCCCTCAAGGGTCAGGAGCAGCGCCTCACTTCTCTTTCTTCTCTAGCCTCTTCGATGCCGATGCCTCTGTTGCCTCCTCTTTGGATTCGGTCGCAGCTGCTGAATCCTTAGGATTTGACTCCTCATAACTGACCAGAAAACAAAGGAACACATTTGGAGGATGGTGAGGGAAGAGTCCCAATCACCCCTTTCCTTGTGATCCCAGGGAATGGCAAGGGTTGTTCTGCATCTCCTGCCCATCCTCTCAGTATCTGGCCCCAACCCTGTGTGCCCTTACAGGCAACCTGCCTGGCTTTCTCTGTGCCCTGTGGTGCCAAGAGGCTCTAAAGGCAGCAGCAAATAGGAGCGGCTGGGCCTGGGCTTGTGTGGATCAACTTTAAACTTCTTGAATGTTCTGCTGAGAGCAGATAAAAGTGGGATGAGACTCCGGGAGATCGGCTGTCTCCCAGGACACATGAAGCTCAGCACCAGGCAGGATACTGTTCTATTGGCAAGCAGTACAGTGCCACGCTTCAGAGTGGACACCCTGGCTTAGTTCTCATCAGGGACTTTGCTTACTAAGCAACTGCACTCATGCCAAGCACAATGCATGTTTCCTCCCCGGTGGGCAGAAGGGTAGGTGTGTACTTGAAGCAAAGTGACTGGTTCAGGGCCAGTAAATACAAGCCAGCAGTCCCATCATCTATTACACTGTGACAAGGCCACTCATGGCCCCCATCTCATGTGAATTCCCCATGGCTGGTGATCACGCCAAGGTTCTGGGGTGCCTGCTCCCCCCAAGGCTGGGCAGCAAGTACTGACTGGTGGCTGTAACAAGCTGCCTCCTGCCTCTGACCCCAGCAACACTCCTTGACTTTATACAAGAGCTGGAGCATCTGCCCTACCTTGGGCTTGGGACAGTGGGGGGAGCGGGCAGGTGGGCACCCGCTGGGTATTACATGGCGCTGGGATTCTGCGGGCGCCTGCGACGAGGGCCAGCTAGCTTCTGCTGCATGGAGTCGGCCAGGCTGGCGGGGGAGCCCGAGACTGTGGGGAAGTGGGTGAGCCTCGGCGTATGAGGCAGGATTTCCGCCGAGGACTCGTAGCTGTGTGAGACAGATAGAGAAGACAGAACAAAGAGATGGAGAGAGGAAGACCAGGGGAGGACAGAGACTTCCTTCCCAAGGAGCAGGGTGCACTGCCACCTTGTTACCTGGCTCACACTTGCAGCCTCTGTATACAACCTTCATCGCTTGAAAGAAAATGCTCAGCTGCAAGGGTGCACCATGCAGGCAAAAGAGGGAGGATGCACTGGATTGAAGGTGCTGCTGAGCCAGTGTTTCTAACTGTTCTGTGACATATGGAGGGCTAGGGTCTAACCCCAGTAGAAGAGCATGTGCTTACCATGCATGTGACCCTGGCTTTGATCCTTGGCTCTCTACGACACCCCAAACAGGAAAAGCACCAAGGTGCAGAATGCTGGAGATTGACATCTGTCCGTGCAGCCACAGTTGCGTGTCAGTGCATAGACATCTCTAAAGGCATCTGTTAAGAGATGGTCTCTCAGGTGGGCTGGGACATGAGGACACACATGTCCCCTCACAGCTGTGCATCTGTGTGTGTAGTGTATGTGCGTGTGGAAACCAGAGGCTGATGTTGGGGGTCTTTATCACTCATTTTTTGAGAAAAGTCTGTTATTGAACCCAGAGCTTATCAATTGGTTAGACTGGCTGGCCAGTGAGCTCCAGGTATCCCTCTCGGTACCCCACCAGGAGCTGTGTTTATAGACATGCACCACTATACCAGCTGGGTGCTGGTGATCTGAACTCAGGTTTTCATGCTTGTATGGCAGGCACCTTACTGACTACACCGTCTTCCCTAGCCTGTTTTTTTTCTTTTTGAGACTGTAGCCTTAGTTGGCCTTGACCTCACAGAGATCTGCCTGCCTCTGCCTCTGGAGTGTTGGGATTAAAGGATTTTTAAAATATATTTAATTAATTTAGTGTATGTGTATGTGACAGGGCTCATGTGGAGGTCAGAGGACAACTTACGAGAGCTGTCTTCTTCTTCACCTCCTGAGCCATTTCATCTGCCCATGCCTTTTTTTTTTTGGTCTTTTTTGAGACAGGTTCTCCTTGTAGCTCTAGCTGGCCTAGAAACTCACTATATAGACCAGGCTGGCCTTGAACTCACAGAGATCCACCTGCCTCTCAAGTGCTGGGATTAAAGGGATGCGCCACCACGCCTGGCTTGCCCACGCCTTTTAAAAAATTTTGTTAAAATTTTGTTTTGCTTTAGTTTAAAATTTATTTATTTTGAGACAGTCTCACTATGTAGACTAGGCTGGCCTCAAACTCACAGAAATCTACCTGCTTCTGTCATGCGACTGGCCTGGAGCTTACTACATAGCACAGCCTGTCCTGAACCCATCCTTCTGCCTCAACCACCCAAATAGTGGAATTAAGGCACGAGTCACCACACCAGGCTCAGCTGTGGAACTTTTTCTTTTTCATTCTTTTTTGGGGGGGGGGTGTTTTTGAGACAGGGTCTCCCTGTAGCCCCAGCTGGTCTGAAACTTGCTATGTAGAACAGGCTGTCCTCAGTTTCACAGAGATCTGCCTGGCTGCTGTGGAATTTTAAATTATGTGTGTGTGTGTATCACTGTGGATATGTGCACATGAGTGTAGGTGCCATGGTAGCCAGAGGTTTCAGGTGAGATTCCCCCTGGAGTTGTAGTTACAGGAGGCTGTGAGCCGCCCTACATGGGTGCCGGGAAGTGAACTAGGGTCCTTGGGAGGGGGCAGCATGCACTCTTAACCATTGAGTCATCTCTCTAGTCATGGGATTCTGAACCATGTGAATGTGCTACCCATTCAAGAATGAACAGTGAATGAATTTTTTTTTTTTTTTTTTTTTTTTTTTTTTTTTTTTTGGTCTTTTTGAGACAGGGTCTCCCTGTAGCACCAGCTGGCCTGGCACTTGCTATATAGGCCAGGCCTACTTCAATCTCACAGCGATCCACCTGCCTCTGCCTCTGGAATGCTGGGACTAAAGGCATGCGCTACCATGACTGGCAACGAATTTTTTAAAAAGAGGAGTGGTAGTAAAAGAAAAAAGTAAAGCCAGAAGATCAAATTGAGAGGGGAAGAAGGAAGGACAGAGGAGAGACCACCCACTTTCTTTTCCCTAAGGATGTTCTGGGTAGGTTGGGGTGCTGTGCCAGTCAACATTTAAGGAAACCAAGCTTCAATCTGGTGAAGGAGGGACCTTCTGCCCTAGCTGGGTGCTCAGAGCTTTGCATGCTGAGGACACAAGGGGACTGATCTGGAGGTCCCCCTAAGGCTGGATGCGCAGAGGGAGGGGCAATAGGCGCTGACCTGGGCTGCTATGCCAGAAGATATAAGTGGGCAGGCTCCAGATGGGCAGGCTGGAGCTGGGGAATCCAGGCAGGACACGGAAGGCAGAGTAGGCATGGGGAAAGGGAAGGGGTGAGTCACAGGCTACCATGCAGCAGCCAAGTGCACAGGAGGTCCTGGCAGGCACTGGAGGGCCAACTTGAGGCCAGGCAGGTGCAGTTGGGTGAAGGCCCCCAAGTGGGCAGTTTTAATGGTAGCCGGCAGCTATTCCTAGGTCTCTGGTGGGTGGGGTTGGTGATGCTAGGGTGCAGATACCTATTAGAGTCATGCAGGCCTTGGGGTAGGGATGTGGCTGTGACCACGGGGAAGGAGTGTGTGCCTGAGGAGAAAAGGGAGCAAGTCGTGGGTTATGGCTACAGGGGCTGCTGGACAGAGATGGACACACGGGTTCTCCTCAAGGGTATGTCCTGGTCCTATTACTCACATGTACAAACTGACACCAGGGCAGAAGACACATCTCAAGTCACTTTGTGGCAGAGCCAGGCTGTGACCCCAGGGCCTGGATGGTGGGCAGTCTGAAGAAAACCTCTATCAGGTATATGGTGTGGGCTGCCCTCCCCTAGCTCCTGGGGAAGGTTTTCACTGGTGACTACTCAGTCACTGACTGAAAGGGCCAGGGGAGGAGCAGATGAGAGAAATGCTCCCCTGAAGAGTGCTCACTTGCCCCAGCAGACTGTCTGCAGATACACTGGGGCCTCCTGGATGTTGGTCCCATTCCACCTTACCTGAACATCTCTGCCACTTCTCCCTTGGCCAGTGCTACCAGGACAGGAAAGCCGATGCACGCAGGGACCAGGTACAGGAGAGCCGGCTGTGAGAAGACAAGAAGCTAGTGAGGCAGGACGCCTACTCAGGGCCACACCCAGTGTATTCTTCTGGGCTTGACTGAGAGATATAGCTCAGGCCCAGGTTCACAGAACCAGCCAGAGGCTGAGCCAGAACGCAGGGCTTTGGGAAAGCAAGAGCACAAAGAAACAAGGACATAGAACTCCAAGGAGTCTGTCCAGCAGTGTTGGAATCACCTGGACAGTGGCTCAGAGCAGGCTGGCTTTCTTCCTAGAGGCCAGCTCCACAGGGCGGGGCAGAGGCTGGCATTTTAGTAAATACTCTGGGAGAGACTGAAGATGGTGACAATACCTGCAACACTTGCTGCAACACCATGCAGACATACCATCCCTGAAAGTACCCAGTAGCTTTCGTACCCAGGTGCTCTGCCCTACCCTACCCCACCCCCACATCTGTACTGAGATGCCTGGGAAAGCTAGGCTAGGAGAAAAGACTGTTCCCATGGCTGTGGCAGAGAAGAGCTAATGCTCTAGAGGGAGGGGCCAGCCTGGGCCTTGGGTCTAAGTGTTAAATAGGACAGAAGCCCCACATGCCGGACTGTGAAACCATTCTTTTACAATCTCTGAAAAGTTGACATCACTCTACTGTATGATGCGCTGGGGACACTCCGAAGTCCCCAATGCTGCCAGTGGCCTGAAAGCCTCATGAGATGTGACCCCTGTCACTTCCTCCAACTTTATCTGACCTACCTTGCTCTGGTCACAGCCCCAGGACCTTTATATGTGTAGTTTCTGCTGCCTGAGCTGCTCTTGCCCGCTCAGCCTTCACCTCTGTGGGAAAGCCCTTACTTGCATGGTATCATCTGCTTGCAGAGTCCCCTCTGCCACCAACCCCAATTATCCCTACTAACATTCCTGGTCCTTTGTAAGGGATCACCCCATACAGACCAGTCTCTATCCCCTGTTGGGTTGAGGACTCAGAGAGGGCAAGCCTTTGGCTGCTCTGTTTACTCTGCATGTCTGGTATTCAGCAGAGGGCCTGGGAAACAGGAGGTCTAGCAGAGGCTTCTGCACCATGCTCACCAGGCTAAGAGAGGTCTTGGAGATGAATGGGGTGAGGGGAATTCATTTTTGGTGCCAAGCCAGCCTGTGGCTAGAGAACAAAGGAATCTTTCCTAGTGCCTGAGGACCCTCTTCAGTAGACCATTTCTTGGCACTGGTCTGGGTGGGCTGTGAGCCACACTGTTTACATAGATCATGCCTGAATCCAGCAATATCCTAAGGACCCAGACCCGAGTTTTATAGATGATATTCTTGAGGTTTGAGAAGGGGACTGCCTGGTGCAAGGTCATGGAAGGTGTAGAGGCTGAGCTGGGACTGGACCTTCGGAGCTGGGCTGCTTTTACTGCCTGCCCCATCACATTTTACAGACACACACACACACAAAGTTACACACACACAAAAACAGATGAGTAAATAGAGGCTCAGAGGAGAAGGGCCTCAAGAAAGTTGGTTAGTACCTGGACCTAGGGTCCTCCTCTGCAGCCCAGGGCATTTTCTTAGAGTCTTGGAAGAATGTAGGGTTTATAGGGGAAGGAGGGTATATGGACTGACTCTCCCCCAGTGGCCTCTAGGCCAGGGAGCTGGCAGCCTTGGGTTCATGGGAAAGGCTCCTTTAAGAGGCAGCAAGTTTGCTGTTATGGGAAGAAGACAAACCTGCCTTCTCTTTTTTTCTTTCAGGGAACCCAGGGAGCTCTTCAACAGACAGTGCCAAAGAGAAGGGATGCATGGTTCAGGACTGTGAACTGGGGGCTAGGGCTCCTAGTTTTCCACTTTTTTTTTCTTCATTTTTTTGAGACAAGGTTTCTCTGTAGCCCCAGCTGGCCTGGGACCGGCTATATAGACCAGGCTGGCCCTGATACTCATAGAGCTCTACCTGCCTCTGCCTCCTGAGTGCTGGGATTAATGGCATGTGCCACCATGCCTGGCTTTGGGTTTTGGTTTTTTGGGACAGCTTCTCTGTAGTCTAGGCTTGCTAGAATTTGCTATGTAGCTGAGGATGACCTTTAATTCCTGCTCTTCCTGCTTCCATCTCCAAAGTACTGGAATTCTAGGCATGTGCTACCATGCCTGGCTGGGCTGGGTTTTTAAAGATCAGGTGACTCCTATCTAGAGCAATGCAGGCAGGGGCCGCCTGCATGTTCTTGGAGAAGGGGACCCTCATTTGACAGGTTCTTCCTGTCAAGAGTTTTTCAGGGAGGTGACCATCTGGATGACTGAGAAGGGCCCTGCCTGACTTGCTGTATTATCCAGGATGTCTGTCCCTCAGAACTGCAGTCTCTCTACAATGGGGAGGATGGCATTTCTTGCGCTTGCTTTCTGCATGTCAGACTCTCTTGGGTCTCCAGATGGGAAGGCAAGCCTGACACCTGGTGGCTGCCAGGGGAATGGCTTGCTCTTGCAGTCCAACATAGGGCTGAGAGCTGGAGCATAGCCCTTGGGCAGGCCAATAAGCCAACATCTCAAGAATCTGCCTACTCTGTAACCCCCTGGCCAAGTGCATGTCACACAGCCAGCACAGCTCTGAGGCTGTTTAAAGAGACAGCTCTGCAAATACACTTGTTTTCTCTGCCTATCAGTGACACCCTTGGATCTTTGCTAAAGGCTTTGCACAGGTAGCAATCAACAATCAGATCTTGTGATGAATTAAAAGGCAGTTCCTTGCCAGGCGAGGTGATGCATGCCTTTACTCCCAGCACTCAGGAGGCAGAGGCAGGAGGATCTCTGTGAATTCAAGGCCAGCCTGGTCTACATACTAAGTTCTAGGACAGCTGGGGCTACAAGGAGATCCTGTCTCAAAAAGACCGAAAAAAAAGGCAGTTCCTGTGTGATGAGGCCTTGGGGAGGAGACGGGGAGGAAAGAACAGCAGTCTATCAGGTACTCCCTTATTCCTGGACACCATATAGCCCAAGACCCCCCCAGTGGATGCCTGAAAAGAAATGGCATAGCACTGACACCCTGTTACTAAGTCACTAATGGGCTGGTAGTACACGGAGTGCTGGAAACACTGGACCGTTCATGTGGCATAGTAAGCACTCATCCTGATACTCATAACTGTGTGACACTTGAAACTGGAAGTTTCTGTTTAGTATTTTTGGGCTGTGGGTAACTGAAACCACCAAAAGTGAAGCTGTGCTGGGGCAGGTTATCCAGGTTATTCCTGTACTTTATAGGAATTCAGTGCATCCCCAAACCACTCTACTTTCTATCCTCATTACTGAATGAGGAAAAGCAAGCCTAACTCTGGCAACCTGGCCCAAGTCCCACTGGGCTTCCTCGGCCTCTGTACCACGCTGCTTTGGGCCATGGGGCTTGGGCCTGCTTTTCACACTACCTAGCCTGGGTCTATCTACCTGGCTCTATTACCCACTGATGGGGCCTGACCTCCAGCTTCCTCTTGTGCTCACCAGCACTCTTAGGAGCAGAGTCTGGCAAGTGGGATGAGGAGCAGAGTCTGGCAAGTGGGATGAGGAGGTGACCCTGCCCACTCCCACTCCCTACCAGTTCCCCAGCTCCAGTCCTTTGTGGCTCCCACCACTCATGCTGTGGTGTTCATGGTACCCATCTTGGTGGGAGGAGGCAGAGCCTTGGCCTTCCTGGGGTGGGGAAAGCTAGCTTTCACTTATAAATGGGCACTTGGCTGAAGCACCTAACCCCCACCCAATCTTGGTCTTTGTTTATGCCAGCCTGCCGGGAGGCCAACTTCTCTTCCCCAGGCTCCTCCTATAGTCAGAGTGGCCCTGTGACACTATCTAACTTATGGGATATGGGTAAAAGCAAACAGCCAATTCTGGGAAAGTGCCTGCATCCCTAACAGAGACAGAGACATGACTGGCATGCTTGCCCTCCTTGCTGAAAACATGCATGATGCCTGGCGCAGAGGCAGCCATCTTGCCACAAGTGAAAGAGAATCAGAGACTTGACTGCTTTATACTACTGCGGGGTATGCACCCCTGGGCTGCTTTCGGATCTCGGTCTAAGTCCTGTTACTAGCAGTCACGCACTTGGGACAAACTGTGGACAGTCCTCACCTGGGCATGCTTGAAGATGTGCATGATGAAGATGGTAAGGCCCAGGCCGAAGATGTAGGCGGCGAAGCTTGTGTAGAAGTAGGTGTGGGTGTTCTTCTTCAGGCTTTGGGGAGGGAGGAAGAGGCTGTTAGAGCAGCAGCACCCTTTCTGGAGAAGACCCTGCAGTTGTGGGGGGTTAGGAATCTGGAGGGGGTATGTGCTCTGTGCTGTGCTCTAGGTCTCCTTAGACAAGTCACCTCCCTTCTCTCAGCCTCACTTTACACATTTGCAAAACAGGAAAACCATGAGCGCATATTATTAGTAGTTGTAAATGGCAAATGTTATCATCTAAACTGGCTCTAAGACTATAGCCAACATAAAAGTCGTCTTTTGAAAAACAAATGCAGGGTCACCCCAAGGAGTGTGATATATCAAATTTGGGGCAAGGCCCAGGGGTTAGCTCACTATGTAGCTCTGGCCTGGAACTTAGTACATAGACCAGGCTGGCCTTGCACTCAGAGATCCACCTACCTCTGCTTCCCAAGTGCTGGGATTAGAGGTTTGGGCCATCATGCTTGGCCTACTATTTTTTTTTAAAGATGGGTCATATAGCCCAAGCTGGCCTTGAACATGCCATGTAGCTGAGGATGACCTTGAACTTCTGACTCTTCTGCCTCTTCTCCTGAGTGCTGGGACTGCAGATATGTCCCACTATGACCAGTTTTTGTAATATGTTGGGGACTGAACCCAGGGCTTCAGGCATATTAGTTAAGACTCTACCAACTGAGCTATACCTAGAGTCCCACAAGTTACTATTTTTTTTTTTTTTTTTTTTTTTTGAGACAGGGTCTCCCTGTAGCCCCAGCTGTCCTGAAACTCACTATGCAGACCAGGCTGGCCTTGAACTCACAGAGATCCACCTGCTTCTGCCTCCCAAGTGCTGGGACTACAGGTGTGTGCCACCACACTGGGCTACAAGTTACTATTTTTAAGTTCAGAGGCTATAATAGTTCAGGAAGCTATTTCTGAAGGTACTAAAGATGTCTGCTATCTGGGTAAAATGCCAGTGGCTTCCTGTAGGCGATGCATCCACCAACAGTTTCAGAATATATAAATTAAGAATTGGGTATGGGGCTGGAGAGTTGGCTCAGTGGTTAAGAGCACTGACTGCTCTTGCAGAGGACCTGGGTTCGATTCCCAGCACCCACATAGCAGCTACGAACCATCCTTAACTCCAGTTCCAGTGGAATCTGAAGCCCTCTTCTGACCGCGGCATTGCACGATACAGGTACACTCATATACATGCAGGCGATACACTCATACACATAAAATAATAAAATATTTTTAAAAAATGGGTATGGTAAGCCGGGTGTGGTGGAGCACACCTGTAGTCCCAGCACTTGGGAGGCAGAGGCAGGTGGACCTCTGTGAGTTCAAGGCCAGCCTGGTCTACATAGTGAGTTCTAGGCCAGCTGGGGCTACAGCTATAGGGAGACCCTGTCTCAAAGACCAAAAAAATAATAATAAAAAAAAAGAATTGGGTATGGTGGCTGAAGCCTGTAATCTCAGCACTTGGGAGGTTAAGGCCAGCCTGGGCCACAGAGAGACCCTGTCTCCACCCAAAAATCTCAGGTACAACACAACACAACAAAACAAACTCACCCAAAGTCTGGTCCTGCCATTCCTCACTACCTTTTATGTCAGCTCCATTCTCTGTTCCTGAATATGGAACAGTGTCCAGGGAATGAGGGAATTAAGAACTACAGAATTAGTTTGTGTGGAATAAATGAGGATTATCTTTCCCCTAGTGCTTGCTGGGGGTTTGCAAATGTTAGGCAAGGCTCTACCATGGAGCTACAGCCAATCCTCTTTTATATTTGAGACAAGATCTCACTAAGTTGCCTAGGCAGGCACTTCAATCCTCTTGCCTCACCCCTGTCACAGGTGAGCAGGTGTGCAACACGAGGCTGGCAAGAACCCTGAGTGAAGCACACGCCCATGGAGAGCCATCCTGCTGTGAGGGCTGAGTGCCAGCGATGCCCTATGGGACTGAGACACTGATTCTGAGTTTCTCCTGAGGGCAGGCTGATCCTGTAAGCCTAGGTGAGGAAGGACTTCTGCCTCTGGAATGCTGACAGCTGAGCCTGTAGCAGACAAGCCAGGAGACATTTGTGGCTTTCTATAGTACCTCCAGGCAGTGAGGAGTGGAGCCATTAAACCAGTGTCTATATACAACTGACCAGGGCCCTTCCAAAGGCCATCAATAAACCTGTGCTCACAAGGCACAAACTGGCACTATAAAGAAATCCTGGATGTTGGGGCTGGGAGTATATCTCAGTGGTAGAGCTACTGCTGAGCATGGGTGATGGTCTTGGGTTTGATTCCCAGTATCCTCATTCTCTACAACACCCGCCAGATATGTGAATGGGGAACAGTCATGAAAACTAGATTTCCTTTTTTTCCTGTAGTGCTGGGGACTGAACCCAGGGCCTGGGGCATGCTCTACCCTTAGCCTAGAAAACCGATTTCAGTGATGTTGGTTCCGAGTTTGTAACCACTGTGAACATAATTACTGCTTTTTGGAGACAGAGTTTCACTATGTAGCCCTGGCTGGCCTGGAATTGCTATGTAGACCAGGCTGGCCTCAAACTCAGAGATCACCTGCTTCTGCCTCCTGAGTGCTGAGATTAAAGACATGTACTACCACAGCTGGCAAGACTACTGCGTGAGGAAATTAAGTTGACAAATAACATCAACATTGTACATTCAGCAAGCCCTGGCTGGGAAGAAAACATGGGCTGAAGAAGTAGTTGTGGCCACTGCCAGCTGGTAGCAGCCCAGTGGCATGGGAACTTTAATCCAGTGAGTGTTTTAAATAGTGATCGGAGTTGACCATCTTCCCTCCTTCATGCCCTCCCCAAGTGCTGAGGATAGAGCCCAGGCCTTATGCATGCTGGGCAGGTGTTCTTCTACAGAACTCTAGTCTTACATTTAACTTTTACAACAGACTGAAAGGTCTGAGTAGGAAGAGGGCAAAGAAAGTGAGACCTGAACACAGTGACCAAGTCCAGGCTGACAGATGATGATGATGATGGCTCAGCTGGCTTTCCCCAGAGCTACTGAAGTCAGCCTGCATTTAGTGCTCTCCCCAAATAGGCACAGGGTTCTGGACTGGGAACACCACAGATGAGAAACTGAGGCTCTGCAAGGTTAGACTGCTAAGGACAGAAGCAGGACTACATGTACCATCATAGCTGTATGTTGGCCCGATTCTTAATTTAAAAAACAAAAAAAAATCTTTTTTTGGGGGTGGGGTCACAGCCTGTTGGAACACTTAGAACACCTGTGAATGAGAATGTCTCAGGGCTGGAGAGATGGCTTAGCAGTTAAGAGCACTAGCTGCTCTTGCAAAAGACCTGGTTTCGAATTTCAGCACCCACATGGCAGCTAACAACTGTCTGTAACTCCAGTTCTAGGAGATCCGAGACCACCCTCCTCTTCTGTCCTCTGCAGGCACTGCATGACATGGATGTACTTACATATATGCAGGCACTGACACTCATACACATAAAATAAAAGCAAATAAATCAGAAAAAAAAAGAAATGAGAATTCCTCTGGGTGGAGTGGGGGGTATCTTGAAAGCTGCGGGAGAATGCTGGGGGACCCCAGTCTAGGCCAGGCCCTCCTTTGCTTACCTGATGTCAAAGCGCAGCAGCAAGGCAATGAAGATCCCTGCAGAGAGAAAGGCAGGGTTAGAAGGCGAGGGAATGGAGCAGGGCAGTGAACTGATGGGAGATTGGCCTGGTCCCAGACTGGTGTTCAGGGAGCCAGCAGAAATCCCAGTTCCCTCCTGCACTGTGTCACTGGGCCAGTGTCCTGTTGACCAGGTAAAATAGGCAATGCAGCAGCAAGTGAAGTCACTGCTCTCAGAGCTTAGCCAAGGGGCAGGAGGCAGAAAGAATGACACCAGCTGTGACAGCCTTCAACAGGAACCCAAATCCATGGTTACTTTCACTGCAAAAGGCACTTACTGTTCTGTGGAAAGTGGCCTGGGGTAGGACCCTGTCTGAAGAGTGAGATTAAAAGAGGGCTTCTTCAAAAAGACACTGACAGGGAAAGAGAAGCATACATAGGTCCTGAAGGCTAGTAAGGCTACAGTCTGGAGCAGGAGGGAGACACAGGGCATGCATGAGGTAGTCATGCAGCAGGCCTGCGTCTATATCCTGAACAAGGAAAGCACTGGAAGAGTCCTCGGCAGAAGAGCACCCAAACATACTCAGAAAGCTCTGTGGCAGCTATCTAGTTGGAGGTGGGGTGTAGGAGCAAGCAGTAGACCATTGGGAGGTTCTACAAGGACTCAAGGCCACAATTCCACCCCCTTTCCACACTCTGACCCATGCTTCAAAACCAAGTCTAGATGCCCAGAATCTTAAGGGCTCCTGAGACATAGCCAAGTAATGCAATCTCTGTATGTCCCACACACCATATCCTTTATGTGTCTGCATGTCTGTCTCCATCATTGGTCTTCAGGCTCACACAGGGCAGGGGCTACATCTCATTTAGCCAAGGGCTGCCTCTCAAGAGCTGAAACATTCTGCACTGATCAGAAGTACCAACTAGCAAATATAATTAATATGTATTTTTGCAGTATTGTGTTTGGAACCCAGAGCTACAATTGTGCATGCTAGGCAAGGACCTTACCACTAAGTTACACTTCTATGTTTAATTTAATTTTTTAATTTTTTAAAATTTTTTGGTCTTTCTGAGACAGGCTCTCCCTGTAGCCCCAGCTGTCGTGGAACTCACTATGTAGACCAGGCTGGCCTTGAACTCACAGAGATCCGCCTGCTTCTGCCACCCATGTGCTGGGATTAAAGTCATGCACCACCACACCCGGCCTCCACGTTTAATTTTAAAAGAGGGAAATGGAGACTGTCCCCAGTGAAGAGGCTGTGACCAAAGCTGCCCTTTCTGCAAAGTGTTTGGAAAGCTCTGTGCCCTCTGGTGGCTGACACTTGTAACAGTTCTCCATTTACATAAGGGGCCAGGGCTCTGCCTGTGCAATCACTGCTGACAGTTCATGGAGTCTCAACATACTGCTCTACCTGGGTTGGATGACTGTTGGAAGATGTGCGGACATGTATGGATTCTGGGGAAACAGACATGGAGAGATGTTGTATGCAACCTTAAAGCCCAGACCATGCAGCAAGGAGACTGGGGAAGTCTGCCACTGGTTCCTGCAAGGCGAACATTTTGGGGGATTCCATTTCTTTTAACTTTATTTTTATAGACTAAGTCTCATGTTGACCAGGCTAGCCTCTAATTTCTGATCTTCCTGTCTCTGTGTCTAGAATGCTGGGGTTACAGGCATGTGCCATCATTCCTAGCTACAGAACTTAATCTCTTCTGTGTTAGAATCACCTGTGTGTGTGTGTGTGTGTGTGTGTGTGTGTGTGTGTGTGTGTGAAGCCCAAGCTTTCAGGCAAGTGGAACCATTTCTTAGGACCTCAGTTTCCTCTGAAAAACAGAAATACTCTCTATCAATGGGGTTGCTGGGAGTAGTAAAACAATGCACAAAAGCACCCAGCATGGTGTTTAGCAAGGAGCAGGTGCTTGAAAACATGCAGCCATCCCCATCATTCTCCTCTGGTTATTACTGTCCTCCGTGCAGATCCCACAGTGCAATCTTTTGTGTGTGGGGTGCTGTGGATGAACCCAGGGTCTTTGCATGCTGAGTCTTCTCTGCCACTGAGGACACTCCCAGTCCTCTACAGTGAAACCTTTTTCACAGAGACAGACTTGGTCTGAGTCTGGCCCTGCTGCTGAGTGTGAGTTTCTACCAGTCCTTCCACATCCCTTCTCACTGGTGAAGTAGGGAAAGCTTGGCTTTACCCCGCCATGCTGAAAGCACTGTAGACAGAAGTGCCGGCATCACCCCAGGCTATTGCAACTGCTGGGCCTTATGTGTCTGAGTGTTTTGCCTGTATGCACATAAATGCACTGTATTGTGCAATGCCTATGGGGGTCAGAAGGCAGCGTTTGATTCCCTGGATCTGGAGTGAAAGACAGTTGTGAGCCACTGTGTGGGTGCTAGGACCTAAACCTGGGTCTTCTGAAGCCAGTCCTATTAACCGCTGAGCCACGTTTCTAGCCCTTTGAGACTGCTACAGAATGGGCTTTGTCATCACAGTGTGCATCTAATCAGCCTGTCTATTTTTGGTAATACTGGAGTCAGCTCACCTAGTCAGAAGCTCTGAAAGGACTGTCTTGCTTACTACTGTGAGCAAGTAACTCAGGGCCTGGCACATGGTAGGTGCTCCACAAATGTGTACGCGGTGGGATCCTTCACACCCTTGGCTGACTTGTCCCCTTTCCCAACACATAAGTCTGCCTGCTTCACAGTAAAACCCCCAACACAGAGACTACCCCTTCCACACATCACTATGGCTCTGTCCCCAACAGTCACCTGGAATGACGATATCTCCAAGTCCCAGCATAGCAAAGTTGTCTGCCTCAAGGCCCTTCTCCAGCAGATCCTGGGGGAACACCACTGCAGGGGGAGATATGGATGGATGGGACAGGTCAGCGGGAGCCTAGCTTACTCAGGCTCCCAGCCTCTCACCCTGCAGGACTGACTTGCACACACTTGTGTTTCTGAGATGATAGATGTTCACTGAAATGACAGCTGGTTAGAGCGAGGCAGAATCTCAGATCTCTAACCAAAGGTTTCATTCATCATTCACTCAGTTCTTTCTTCCTCCCAGGTTGCCATGGTACTACTTGTCATGGACCATCCTCTCAAGGCCATCCTCTTCTCCCCAGCTATCATGCCTAGTGGTGACCTTGAGCCTTGTAATCCCAGGTGACTGGGATCACCTAGGGCTGGGGCTCTAAGCTAAACAAGCTTTCTCCATCTACCTTGCTGAGGGTGTTTTTTGGTCTGCCTGTTTGCTTTTTTTTTGTCTTAAAATTTTTTGGATTATTTAAAAAAAATTTTTTTTTTTGTCTTTTTGAAACAGGGTCTCCTTGTAGCCCCAGCTGTCCTGGAACTCACTATGTAGACCAGGCTGGCCTTGAACTCACAGAGATCTGCCTGCCTCTGCCTCCCGAGTGCTGGGATTAAAGGTGTGTACCACCATGCCCAGCGGATTATTTTAATTTTATGCATGTGTTTATGCATAAGTGTGTACCTGTGCATGCAATGCCCAAGGAGGCCAGAAGAGGGCATCAGATCTTCTGGAACTGGAGTTAGATGGTTGGTAGCCTCTGTGTGGGTGTTGGGAACTGAACCTGGGGCCTCTTCAGGAGCAGTTAGTACTCTTAATGACAGAGCCATCTCTCCAGCCCAATTTATTTGTTTTAGAGACAGGGTCTTGCTATATAAGCCCAGGCTGGCCTTAAATTATCATTCCTCCCAAGTACTAGAATTAGGTGGGTATGGCCTCATGTTCAGCTATGACAATCAGCTGGGGTTTTTCTTTTGGGAGAGTGCTAGAGACTGAATTTAGGGCCTCATGCATGTTAGGTAAGCACTTTACCTTGAGCCCTATGATACATGGTTTGGACTTGTGAAACATGAAACAAGTTTCACAGGGGATTTTTGGGAAAAACATCCCCCTTCCTTTTGTTTTTCCCCCCGTCTCATTATATATCTCTAGCTGGCCTGGAACTCAGCTATATAGACTGGCCCTGGACTTAAAGCAATCCTCCTGCTTCTGCTTCTCAAGTGCTGGGATTATAGGCATGCATCACCAAATCTGGCTTAGATGACTTTCCTTCCTCTTGGCCAAGATACCAACACTTTTGCAAGCTGTTCAGTCAAGGGTGCAGCTACCCAGCAATCCCCAGACCTTCGGGGCTAGATGTTTTGCTAATTAATGCTTTGCAACCAACCCAACCAGCTAAAAGTCCCCTGGGCTTAACTGGCTGAAGAGGAATATAAACCTTGCTGGGGAGTGTGGTTCCATTTCTGGATCCACTGAGATTCTTCACACAGATTTTGGTGAACCTAGAGACCAGGGGTGCTCTGTGTGAGAATACGGACCCTGGAAAGCTCTAGGGTGAGGTGCCTCCCCCATCTTCAACGTACTGCTGGTCTGAGCTCTCTGGCATAGATAGGACCCAGGCTGGCCTTGAATTCACTGAGATTCCTGACTCTGCCTCTGCTGGGATTAAAAGTGTTTGCTACCATACCCAGTCCAAAAACATTCTTTTATCATGAAAAGAGGAACAAAGTTCCCCTTTGTGCCTCTAGACCTGTCTGTGTGAGGAGTCAATCCTAGAACTGTGGTTCCTTCTGGAGGTGGGTTAATAATGGACAGGTACCACGTTGAGAAGGTTGGGGTGGGAAAACTGAAATAACTTTGGCTTTGGCAATTTATTGAGGGCCATTAACCCAGCTTTGAGCTGTTCTACCCTGGCTTGCTGTAGTGTGAGAAAATAAACATTTCCCTTTGGTTAGTTAGGCAAGGGGGAACACACCTGTCACCCCAGCACTACAGCATCACAAGGAGGAGGGGCAGGGGCTCAAAACCACCATCAGCTACATAGTAAGTGTGAGGCCAGCTTGATCAACATGAAACTCTACCTCAAAAAACATGAAAGTCCTCTTGTTTAAAGACACTGGTACTTTTTCTAAAAAAAATTTACATCTAGTAATTCATGTATGTGTGTCATCTGTGTGCATGCATGCCATAGTGTGTATATAGAGGTCAGAGGACAACTTGTGGGAGTCAGTTCTCTCCTTCACCATATGGGTCTCAAGTACTGAACTCAGATCATCAGGCTTGGCAGCAAGTGCTTTTACCTGCTATGTAGGCCAGGATGGGCTCCTGCCTCAGCTTCTTAAGTACTAGAATTATAGATGTGTACCTCCAAAGCCTGGGTTCTGAATTTTCTTTTTAAAAAATATTTTATTATTTTTATGTGTATGAGTGTATTGCTTACACGTATGTAAGTGCACACGTGTCATGCAATGCCCAAGGAGGTCAGAAGAGGGTGTTACATTCCTTGAAACTGTTGTTACAGAAGGTTGCTAGCCACCATATGGGTGCTGGGACTTGAATCTGGGTCCTAAGAACAGCCAGTGCCCATAACCACTGAGCCATCTCTTCAGCCCCCCCCCCTTTTTAATCTCTTTTTTTCTTGAGATAGGTCTCCCTGTAGCCCCCAGCTGTCTTAGAATTCACTATGTAGACCAGGCTGTTCTCGATCTCAAGAGATCTGCCTGTCTCTGCCACCCAAGTGCTGGTACTGAACGTGTATCACCATGCCCAGCTTTTTCCTTCTTTCTTTTAGAGGTGTAGGGGATGGAACCCAGGGCTTAAATATGCCAGCTAAGCATTCTTCCTTCCACTGACTTACACTTGTTCCTAATCTCTATGCTTGGGTTTTCTAATACTTGTAAACAGTTCAACTAAACTAAAAAACGTGACATCCCTCCCAACCCAAGGTAGTGTGAGAGGTGGCAGACAGAGAGCATCTTATATGCAGGTATCAAGGAGGTCCCAAGGAAGGAGCTTCAGTTAGCATAGTGATCTCCCCTTCTGCAGAGTCCCCCACAGACCCTACAGTAGGCTTCTTGGGCAGCTTCCCTCTGTGCTTGTTCCCATTCCTGCTCGTTTCATAGCACATGATCAACATCATGGCCAAGCAGCCCAAGACCAGGGTAGAGGGCTAACTAAGCTCAGGGACATAGCTATATGAATGGATGAAGAGACCCTGTTCCTAACAGCAACCTGGGGTGGGGAGGAGGTGTCCCACCAAAAGAGGTGATCACTTACATTTTATTGGTGCCTCAAAGGACTTGGCCACCGTCACCATCACATTGGTGCCGAATACCTGGAAGAAGACAGGAGTCTGAAGGGAGGTGGATGGGTAAGAAAGGTTCTCTTGACTAGGGGATGCCTTGCTGTCTGAGGTGTGGCAGGGAACTGTGAGAGCTCAGAATAGAACTGACACTGAAGTGAGGTGGCTATTCATGTGGCTCTTGGGTGAGAGAAAATTTCAGAGTCTGGAAAGGACCTCAGCTGGTGTTTGTTCGAGCTTTGACTCCTTGCAAGAGTTATAAAGCCTCTGGGTACCAACTCAAAGAGAAAAGAGGGCATCAAGAACCCAGGAAAGGATGCTCCAGTCATGTGGACCTTGATCCCTCAGCAGTGTCTCAGAGAGTGAGCATGCAGTCAGAACACAGCTGACCTGTCTTCCTTGCTGGGCCTTTATCACCATCTACAACCCCTGTATAAATGTTCTTGAATTTCAAATCATTTGCTCTAGAAACAGAGAATGATGTAGTATCCCTCTAAGGAATGCAAGGAAAGGCCTGCTGAGTTGGACATCACGTCCCTGTCTGACTCACCCAGAAGACGTCATAGACGAAGAGTCCGCCCAGGAGGATGCAGCCAGTGCTCACGTTGTTCAGGTGCAGGAGCTCTACCCCATTAAGGGAGAAGGCCAGGCCAAACAGGTTGTTGGCAATCCAGTGCTGGGGAAAGGTGGGAGTGAGACCAGCCCCATTCTGCCCTATTAACCCTACTTGTCCTTCTGCTCAGGCCCCAACTACTTACCTTCCTCAGCAGGTACCAGACGCCAACGATGGTGCTTAGGCCCAGGCACACCAGATCCTTAGTGTCAAACTCATAGTTGATGATCTCTGAGCAGAGAGGCCAGGTAAGTCTACTCCCCAGGGTAGGGATGCCCCTCCCACCTGTTAGCCCCTGCACAGAGGAAGGCATGGGTGTTGGCATGGTCAGAGGCCTATAGACCCCAGGGACTTGGCCTTGGCTGCCCCAGACCACCAGGGTAAGAATTAGGATGAGGAGAACTCACTGGAGCCATCCTCATCCCCTCTAACTTTCTAGAGGAGGGAACAGAGGCCCAGAGAAAATGCAGATGAGTGGTCCTTGGTGTTGGGAGACCACTTGGTGCTGGGTGTCACTGGGGGAAGCAGAACCCTCTCTGAGTTTGTTTCTGAATTTATAAACAGTCAAGAGTACTTCGCTCAGGAGACTGCTGTGGGGAGTGAGGTGGATCTTACAGTACCCTCAGCCCAGTGCCTGGAACAAAAGGGGTGCCTAATTAATGCAAATCCTACTGAGTTCAGATTTTTAGTAAGGTCTAGTTCATTCTGGAATCAAGAGGATTGGTGGCAGCCCTACTTTACTAGCAGACTGAGAAGGTAAGAGATGGACGGACGCCTGGGGAAAAGCTAAGAGGGAGTCTCTAAGGCTCCACTTGTGGGGAGCACCTTGGAAGACACCCTGATGTGAGACCCACTCTGGATGCTTCCAAACTTCCTTAAAAGGAAGACCAGAGGGGTGGTGGAGGCTGCCCCAGGCCACAGGTGGTCACTTCTGTTAGACTCCAGAGGGTAGTGGTTGCTGCTTTATCCCAATTTCTGTTCTCTCCTGTGGTTACAACACCTTGGTTTGGATTTGGTTTTAGAGGTATCTGTTGAATTTATTCAGGTTAACCACAGAGGCTCTGTCTTCATGATGTCACATACAGACACACACACATATACAACACAATATTTATATTTAGCTCAAGTGTATTCCTTTTAAGGCTCACTTATAGGTCTTCATGTGCCACAGCCCATCACTCAAATAATGGATATTCTCAATGCCGATTCCCTTGTTGACTTTCTCAATGTCACCCACAGCCATCTTCATGACTCCAACACACAGGGCATGCTCCTTCCCTTCTGCCATGACTGCCACGATTGTATCTACTGCAGCAGGGTAAAGCTTTGCTCCAGGAGACGTTAAACCCGGACACATGACATTTGCACCACTAAGCACAAATCTGATGGCTCCTTTATCCACCTGCTGGTGAGGCAGGATAAATGGGTATTTGTGAAGTAACCTCAGCGTTGGATAAAAAGGTCCTTTTCTCTGCCTGAAAAACAGTAGTTCTCCGTTTACCGTAAGGATCTCCATTTGTTCATGGCATCGCACTATTTTGACGGGGTCTTTCTTAGGCATGATTTGATTGAGCCACAGCTCGATACCTGGAAATTGCTCTGTCAGTTGGTTCTTAATCCCCTTAATAACTGAAGTTTTCAGCTGGATGCAGTTGGACACATTCTCCTTCTCGTCGAATTTCTTGAACATGATCCTGGTGAAGCGGCGCCGATAGGAAGCCGACGTGAACTTGAGCCGAGGGTCCTGGAGCCCACCGAGGCGCGGATTCCAGGCTGTTTGGAACAGGCGTCTGAGCCGGCCGTTGTTGTCGCCAAACGGAAGGCGGTCCAGCAGGTCGCGCTTTACGGCTGTGCAAAGTCAGACTACTTCCGCTGCCCTGACCCCACCAGTTCGTCTGCCGACTTCCGGTTCTCTTCCGGATTTCCGATCCCAGAAAGGGTGGCGCTCCGGCCGGAAGCCGCGTCAGGGCAACCGTGTCGGGATGAGACTGGACGGCCACCCGGGCTCTCATTGGACACGAGGCGAGGCCACTTCTCGCGGGGACAGGCCCCAGCTCCCCCTGGAGCTGGCCAGACAGGGATGCGCATGTCCTCCCTCCTGCTGCGCAGTTGCCATCCTGGATCCCCAGGGGCCACCCTTCAGTTAGGTGGAGATTGGGACCTGGGGCTTCGGAACCCTTTGCGGTTGTTAAAAAAAAGCTTAGCCTTTAAAAGTCCAATAATCATTTATTTGGCACAGACCTGGTAGATGCGGAAAAGTATCCAATCACCATTTTCGGAGTTAGGCATATTCGCTCTGCACTAGACAACAGACTCCATCCCGCAGCTTGGAATTTCATGCGCAAGAAACACCGTCCACTTGGTTTAATGCTGTCACCGTGCTTGAATCCGCATAACTATCGCAGTAGCTTCCCTCAACTGCTTGTCATTTCACATTACAAAAGCTTTGGAACTCTTTTTAATCTTAGGTGGGACAGCTATCACAGTAAACATCTGCTAAGAGCTGTCAGTGACAGCAAGCTTTTACTGAGTGCCTGTATGAGCCAGGCACCGTGCTGAATGCTTTCCACCCATCACTCCTCAATGGAAGAAGGTGTGAAATTACCTTTTATTTTTACAGATGGGTGAAGAAAACTTAGATACCCAAGTGCTCTGAGAGGTAGTGCATCACCCAGAGTCCCATGTCTAGGTAGTGGCAAAACTGGGCCATTAGATCAGTTTCCCCTTTATCACGCCTCCACTAGAATCCAGTATTGGAGGAAACGGGGAATGGAATGGAAGACACCCAAGACACAAGGTAGTAGGCAGCAGCACTGACCTTCCTTGTTTTCCCCAGAGCCCTGTGTGAAGAGCAGCTGATACTGACGATTTGGGAAGTTGGCTGGAAAAAACTTATTCATGAAGGGACTGGAAGGAAAGACAAAGCAGATTGGCAAACAGCCCCTATGGGCAATTACAGCTCTAACAATGCCCCCCAACACCCATTTATGGCTGTTATCTTCAGGTACCTTTTTAGCTGCCCTGGTAGGTAGGTGTTCCTTTTCCCTCTATAGATACAGAAACAGAGGCCATTAGAAGAGGACTTAGGGTCACACATGGAGACAATATCTGAGCTGAGATTCAAACCTAGGTCTCTGCACTCCTGATGACTTCTGTATCGCCTCTTTGTTACCACCAGAAAAAGGCAAAACTGAGACAGACAGATTTAGTATGCAACAGTTTGGGGAAAGAGTCAGAATCCCAAGTCTGGCTGTGTACCTTCTGTATCAGAGTCCCTTGTCAAGAAGCTAGTCCCAGACTAATTTTCAGACTCACCAAGTTTGGCTAGGTGTGGTGGCGCGTGCCTTTAATGCTAGCAAATGGGAAGACAGAGGTTCTCTGTGAGATCAAGGCCAGCCTGGTCTACATGAGTTCCAGGCCAGCTGGGGCTACAGGGAGACCCTGTCTCCAAACAAACAAACAAACAAACAAACAAAAACAAAAAAAAAACACAAATAATAAAACAGACTTACTAAGTCTGATGACCTGGCAGTCAAGCCCACATTTCTGTTTTCCAGGGAGAGACCTGGGCTTTTACAAGTGTAGCTGGAATCTACTGATGAATCATAGTCCCAGGGTGGGATCACCCTCATTTTCATGCTATCATGAGGCCTCTGTTGCTCAGGACCAGTGTGGCCTCATCTTTAGACATACTGTGATTGTCTAGTGTGTTCCACTTCTTGGTCAAGGAGGGAACAAGGATGTTCTTTTCTAGACCATGTTCAGAGCAAGATTAGCAAACCAAGGCCTCTTGGCCCAGTCTGGTCTTGGGTGTGGCAGTTCTGTGGCATGGTTCAGTCCCAGCAGCCCAGCCGCATCTGCTATGCCACACACTAGCCATGTGTCCTGGGAGAGCCACCTTAGTGGCAGTCTCTCTGGGCTTCCTTCTCTTTACCTGTATGCGAGGATAACCTATTCAAAGGGTTGTGTGAAGATGAAAGAAAGCAGGTGAGATGCTCAGCTTAGTGCTGGGTTTGTAAAGCAGGGGTGTTTCAGAACACTGAGCTGCTCTCACAGTGCAGTCTCTGCAGGTAGGCATTCTAGAATGGCATTTCCAACTAAGAGGTCCACCAAGGCAGGCCTGGAGATATTGAGGTCATGGTAGTTAAGGCAGGGACAAGAGAGCTCTCTTTTTTTTTAAAGGCTGTGGTGGCTTAGAGAAGAGTTCTTAAATGTGGATTTAAGAACTGTCTCCTGGCCTCAGGGCTCTGATGAGTGGTACTATGGTTAGAAGAGTGGCAGGCACAGGGCAAGAATCTGAGTGGGCATCCATGCAAGCACTGACGAGATGGAAGGTAGTAGCCAGGACAATTGAGGCTAGAAGCTCAGTTTGCTGAGCAGAGAGTAGCCTGAGGAGCTAAAGCCTTTACCCCAGCCTAGCCTCTTTCTTAGGAGCTTGGGTGTTTTGCGCCTGAATCAGCAGTGTGGACTCCGGAGACACACTTCCTAGGTTCAAGTCCTGTCTCTGCACTTAGAGGCATGATCTTGGGAAAGCTACTTAACTGTTCTGTGTAACTCTTTCTGCATCTGGAACACTGTAATATCTTCCTCATAGTATCATTTTGTTTGTTTTGGGATAGGGTCTTACTCTATAGTCCAGGTTGGCCTCAAACTTGCAGGGATCCTCCTGCATCTGTCTCCTGAGCACTGGAATTACAGGCATAAACCACAGCCCCAGTGTTCTCACAGGATCACTTTTCTTTAGTAATCAAGGACTGAACTCAGGGCCTTAGGTGTAAAGAGCTCTACCACAGAGCTACAGTCCCAGCAGTTAATTATTTTGAGACTGAGTTTCACTAAGTTGCCCAGGCTAACCTTGTGATTTGCCTGCCTCAGCCTTCTAAATATCTGGATTACAGGCAAGCACCACTACAGTCATAGGACTGTCTTTCTCTGAGAGAGGCTGCTGGGTAACATAAAGGATGTCACGTGACCAGGTTGGTCTGTGAAGGGGGGGGTGCTGTCAGCAGCTGCTGCTGTCTCCTTACTTCCTCTTAGTCATACTGGGTACAGCAGTAAATGCTTGCTGGCCAACTTTGAATGTACTTCCACCATGGGCAGATATTCCTTCTTGTCCTGGATGGCTCACAGCAGACCTAAGGGCCACTGCTTCCTGCTGAGAAATGTCTTGGTGCCCTTCCCCTCTGGGGTGGACAGTGAGTGCTAATAAAGCTGGGAATGTGCCCTTGTTCTTTGGGGTCAAAGATTTGGGCCTTCTCTCCTTGGAGGGTAGGCTGGGTAGGGCAGGAGCTCAGTTGGGGGGTGGTAAAAATAGGCCAAGTCTCCCTTGGCAGGAGGATGCAAGGGACCTGGCTGGGCTAGAGTCTTGGTGACTATAAAAGGTGAAGGCAGGCAGTGACCCCTGCCTGCCTTCAATACCATGAGCTGATGCTTGTTCTCAGAGACTGGAGGGAGGCAGTGGGATGGCAGCGGAGGTGGAGGGCTCTAAAGAGAATGGCAGCCTGGGCCAGCTGGCTTGGGACTTCACTCTTATAGCCTTTTAGCAGGTCATTTGAGAGGTCAGGGGAGAGAGGAAAGTCCAGACCTGGGACCAAAAGCTCACTCTGTTGTTAAGAGCTGTGAATTCTGTGGCCACATAACCCTTCTGGTCCTCAATTTCCCTGTCCCATATCGTCAGCCCTTGTGGTACAGATCCAGAGGAAGGACTGACTCTAGGTTTGTGGCTATAAACAGCTCATGGTAATTCTCAACACTGTAGAAGTATTTAAGAAAACAACTCAAGTGAGAGTTTAATTTTTGGATCAATACTCTTTATACTGTCCCTTTGTAATAAAATTATTTTAATTTGATTTAATAGTGTCCCATGTTAACTTTAAAAATGATGATTTTCATCTATCTGACAATTTTTATAGTTCAAGCTGGGGACGAGACTCGTTTGGTGAGTGTGACAAGGATGCCAATGTTTATAGATGTGGGCTAGCCCTGCAAAGTGGCCAGTGGTCCTTCCTACTGCATGGACTGAGTGGCTCTGAGGCAACAGAGACCTGGGTTTGAATCTTGGTTTTGCTGCTTATGTGATCCTGAAAACGCCTTACTCTTCAATTCTGTAACCCAGGATCAAAAGCAAAAGCTACCCATGGAAGGCTGGCTGGCAGGTCAACACAGTAACCACAGTGGCAGTAACAAAGATTATAGTTGCTGGATGTGCTAAGTGTGAGAAACTGTGTTACAAATGCCCCACATGATAGGTACTACTTTTCTGAATACACTCCTGAAGAAGGTGAGGCCAAAGAGATTAAGTAACTTGCCCAAGCTGGAGGGGTATTAACTGGCAGAGGCAGAATTCAAAGTCGGATGGTTCAAATTCTAGAGGCTGCACTCCTAACTCTGACTATCTCTCTCATGAGAAAAGACGGCATGTGAGGAGCCAAACCTAGCACTTGGCAGGCTATACTGGCTGGCAAGAGGCCCCAGTGTTACATATCTCGCATCATGATGACTATGACAGTACTGCGGTCAACAGCCTTCCAGACTTACTCAGTGTGTGTCACCCCACCCCCACCCCTGATTGTCTCCTGCACTGTAGCCTAGGTTGGCCTGGAACTCACTTCAGCCTCCAGAGTGCTGGGAATCACCATACTTAGCTGTCAAACTGGGTACCCCTGTCAGTTCTTATAAGGAGACTGTGGCCCAGAGAGGTCATAGTTTCCATCCTAGGTCACATATGATATGACACAAGGAAGAGTCCCTTGGATTTTATAGCCAGGATCCAAATCTGGCTGTGAATAACACAAAAGGCCATGTTCCCATCCAAGCCCCTGGCTCTTGAGAAAGTGGCTTCAAAGGCTGCAGAGAGATGCCTTCTGACCTGATGGTGTGGGACAGGGCCAGAATTCCCAGCACGAAGAAATACATGGACAGCAAGAGGTTGATGTACTCCTGGGAGAATATCTGAGGCAGAAACATAAAGAAACAGGATATCAAGAGTTGCTATAAGCCATGAGGAAACCAGAGACCCTGTTTCTCCTGGAGGTTGGTCTCAACCCCTCAGGAGTCAGGAACAATCGTAGACAACACTGAGGGCCTTCCATTTTCTACAGCTATGGGACAAAAGGGCAAATCCTCAGGCCCCCAGATTATCCTCCCCCACCAAGGAGTCCAGATGCTTACACCTGGCTCCCTCATCAGGAAATGGGCAATTACTATGTGTTTGCCTAGGTTCTTATGTGTGTTGGGGGGGGGAGGGGCAAGAGCATTGTTGTCAGAACCTGAAAATTTGCTTTTCCATAGTCCCTTTTCCCAGCTCAAAAATCTGGGGAGCCCTTCCAGAGTGTTTGCCAAAGCCCCAAGCATGCTAATTATAAGATGTCTGGGTGCCCACTCCATTTTCCACATCAGCTCTCCTGAAGACACCTCCCCATGGTGGCAGGAAGTCAGGCCCTGACAGTTACTTCCTGATCTTATCATTGCCAGGTGAAATGAAATATTCGGTCACAGTGTTCCGTTGCTGGTCATGTTAATTCTGGCCCTTGGGAAGGCTGTGTCATACTGCTGCCGTCTCTGCTGGACTGGTTACTAATGGTCTCTTAACTGAGAGGCAGTGATGTGCTCTTTCTTGGGGAGGGGTGTAGGGACCACAACCGGTTGAATAGGACTATTATGGCATCTGTTTAAATGCCAGGTTGATCATGTCACCCTTTTGCTTCAAGTCTTACAGTAGTTTCCCTGCTGTTCCCATGCCTGGGAGGCCTCTGGGGCCTTTTGATGGAGGCTGCAGTTTGCTCTGCCCTGTTCACACGCTGCCTATGCTTCACACGCTGCAGCCTCACTCCCAGCCACAGGCAGCCTGGGTGTGTTCGCTTGGCTGCCTTAGATGCTCTGTCTTCTCCCCTAGGCCACCCTAAATCCTCCTCCCTCAGCTCCCAGGTCAGAGCAGTTTTCCTTGGGTAACTGACTGATCCCCCCACTTCCCCAGTAATCCAGCAGCATTTACTATCCAGTATGTGCAGGGTGTTGTGCTAAACACCAGTCATACAGCAAGGAAGGCAAGTCCCTGCCGTCAAGGTTCACATGTCAGTTAGCAAGAAAGAATCTCAGAAGAAATGAGATGAAGTACTCTCAGATGGTGGTAAGGAAAGCAAAGGACAAGGAGAGGGGAGAGCTGCTATTTCAGACAGGGGCCAGAGAAAGCCTCTGGAAGGGAGGGTACTAGAGCAGAAACCTAAACAAGGGGAAGGGATGGGCTGTAGAGATACTCAGGGAAGAGCAACTGAGGCAAGGGCAAGGCAGAGGCAAAGGTCCTGAGGCAAGTGCTTGTTGGTGTACACAGTAGAGGCCCTGTGAGCCTAGAACTGAGGGAGCAAGGGGAACAGTCAGGAGGTGAGGCTGGGAGCAAAGCGGGAGCCAAGCCCTGTGGCACCACAGCACTTCAGATTCACCAAGTGACATGGGAGGGCTGAGGGCAGGGTTGTGACATGCTGGGAAGCCTGAAAGGAGCCTGCTACTGCTGTGAAGAAGAACCCTCCAGAGCAAGAATGGAAGCAGAGTGCCCAGGGAGAAAGGGTCCTGCATGAGCCAGCTGAGGGAGGATGAGGCCACGGGCCAGAGACACGGGGCACTGATGAACACTGAGCTCGGCTGTGTCCTAGTCCAACAGGATGTGCAGAGGGCTGGATATGAGAGCAAGGGCAAGGACAAAAGGGACTCTGGTGCTCCTGGCTGAGCAGGTAGATGGAGGAGCTGCTGTGTGGGATGGGGGCTTGGGCAGGAGAGGCTTGACTGGGCTTGCTCTCTGTGCTATTCCTCAGAGCCATCATTTCACACTTAATTTGTGTGACTGGTAGCCGTCTCCAGCACTTTACAAGTTGCTCCTGATTATTCAGAATGACTGAATAGATAGCAAATCAGTGACAATGATGGGAATGCTCTGTGCTGGGATGACTCTTCAAGAGCCTACACAGGAACTTAACTTTCCCATTCACAACACAGCTGATGCCCAAGAAAGGCAGAAAGTCCCTCAGCGAGATGAGAGGAAAGGACTTGTACTCGTGGTCCTCCACGAGAGAAGACAAGGAAGACCCAAGGCCAAGTGCCTGTGCTAGGCTCAGCATGGAATAAAACAGAAGACTTAAGGGGTATCACTTATATGTCTGGATGTCATTAAGTCACAGGGGACAAAGGATGGAGAATTTGTGGCAGGGACACATGCCTGGTTGCCTAGGCATGCGTAACCTGATTATGGGGATGATGGGTAGCAGAGGAAAGGGGCTAAGTAAGTGCCACTGGGGTGGGCCTTTTCTTATCTGGCTGGGGCAAAGCTTGGTGGCCACATGGCCCTGGCCCACAGCTGTCTCAATGTGGACACTCTAGAAGCTTGGGGACAACCTGTGCTCTGGTACACAGAGTCTGGGCCCAGCTGCCCAGAAAGAACAAGCTGAGCAATGAGAAGCCAGTGCTTTAAGAAAGAGTTCACACCTGCTGCTGGCAGAAATTTCTTTTGGGGATATCTGGCCTAAGGAAAGAACACTAAACAAAAATTTGAGGTCTTATGGCTGGGGCTGGGTGTGAATCCCTGTACTCAGCACAAGAGTGATTTGAGACATCTGTCAGAAGCCAAGTGAGAGGTGGTAGGCTGGCAGTGCAGAGCACCATGAAAGGAGACTAAGAGAACGGGAATGAGGGGGCCAAGGGAGCTCCACTACACAGCTACTGACAGCTCAACTCACACTCAACACAGACACACCAGTCAGGACATCAGAGCAGGGACCTCTGGTGGGGACAGAAATGAAGGTGGAAAATGGAGGTGAGCATCAGAGGCAAAGGACAAGACTATGAAGAAGAAGTGCTCTGTACCAAGGCCTTTGATAAATTCACCTTTCATCTGAGGGCTGGGGGTAGGAGGGGAGGGATTAGTGAACAGTCAGTGTTATTTGATGTATCCTTAGTTTTAAGAGTAAAAATCAGAATGACATTTTCTGTTTAAAGCAAGAGAGGTGCTGTCAGCCAAGTGTGGTGATCTGCTTGTGGGTATTCTGAAACCCCACAATGTAAGTGTTCATGATCGAACAATGAAAGAGCAGTGTAGGGACTGGCAAGACGGCTCCAAGAGTAAAGGCGCTTGCTGCCAAGCCCAATGACCTAACATCGATCCCTGGAACTCACACAATGGAGGGAGAAAACTAACTCCTGAAAGAAATCCTCTGACCTCCACACACATGCCAAGATGTGTACAACACCACAATCAATCAATCAATCAATTAAAAGACAGAGGACTGAGCCGAGTGTGGTGGTGCACACCTTAAATCCCAGCACTCGGGAGGCAAAGTCAGGCAGATAGATCTCTGAGTTCAAGGCCAGACTGGTCTACACAGTGAGTTCCAGGTCATCTGGGCATTTGGGGCTACAGGAGACCCTGTCTCAAAAAGACAAAAAAAAAAAAAAAAAAAAGAGAGAGAAAAAGAGAGAGGGGGGGGGAAAAAAAAAAAAAAAAAAAAAAAGAGAGAGAGAATGAGAGAGGGAGGAGGAAAGAAAAGAAAAAAGTACAACAGGACAGACATTAAAAAGGATGCTTTTACTTCACTCACTGCTGGCTTTAAAACACTAAAGGAGGCCAGCCTGGTCTGCACAACAAGTTCCAGGCCAGCTGGGGCTACAGGGAGACCCTGTCTCAAAAGTCCAAAAAACCCCCCAAAACCAAACCCCCCAAAAACAAAAACAAAAACAAAACAAAACACAACAAACATAAACTAAAAGCTTTGGTGCTAGCTACTGCAGGGCAGAAGGGAAGCCAGCAAACTTGTACCTGTTAGGTGGTAAAAATGGTAATCTTCTTGGAGGGCAATTTGACACTATCTGAGGTGAGGGTGTATAGTGGTACCACTCAGTGGTATGGCAAGTGTTTAGCGTGTAGAAGTTTGGTTCTCAGCACCACCACCATTATCAGTATCACTTCCGCAAGAGAATTTGACACTGTCCAATTGTGAATAGAGATCTGTTTGATCTAGAATCCTACTGCAGATAAACTTGAAAAAAATATATATGTGCACCGAAATATTTTGTGCCAAGTATGCGCATGAAGACGCTTACAGCAGCACTGTCATGATACTCCAACACTGGACATACCTGAACAGCCTCGCCTTGGAGCACATCATTAAAAAACAAACAAAAAAACCAGACTTAACTACATGCAGCTGTTTAACAAAAAGGCCTGGTGTGGCGGGACATACCTTTAATCCTAGCACCCTGGGGCCAGAAGCAGGCAGATCTGTAAGTTTGAGGTCAGCTAATTCTACAGTGAGTGGGACCCTGTCTCAAACAAATCAAAACAAAACAAAATACCCCAAACCAAAACAAAGCCCCCAAACAAAACCACAACAAAAAATCAATCAGGCAGATTTGACTGTGTTGCTATTTGTATACGTCTATGAATGAATTTTATCTGTGTGTTAGGGGTTAGGGATATTGCTCAGTGGCAAAGTGCCTGCCTAGCATGCAGGAGGCCCGGGGTTTGATTCCCCAGTACTGCCAAAATGAACAATCCCTTCAACTCCAAAAAACATTAACAATATATGTAGGTTATTGAAAAAAATTCAAAAAAATTCCAGCCTTGAAAAAATTCAAATAATTTACATGTACTTTGATTGCAAATTAAAGCCATTCTTGACCAATTTTCAATGAACAGGAAGAAAGTGCTTGTGATGTATTAAGAATTCAAAGACTATGGGGCTGGAGAGATGGCTCAGTGGTTAAGAGCACTGACTGCTCTTGCAGAGGACCCAGGTTTGATTCCCAGTATCCACATGGCAGCTACGAACTGTCCTTAACTCCAGTTCCTGGGGAATTCGAAGCCCTCTTCTGACCTCCATGGCACTGCATGACATGGGTACACTCACATACATGCAGGCAATACACTCATGCACATAAAATAAATAAAATATTCAAAAAAAAAAAAAAAAAAGAGGGGCTGGAGAGATGGCTCAGCTGTTAAGAAGACCCAGGTCTGAACCCCAGCATCCACATGGCAGCTAACAACTGTCCGTAATTCCAGTCCCAGGGGATCCAACAGTCTCGTCTGACCTCTGCGGGCATTGCACGACACAGGTGCACTTACCTACATGCAGGCAATGCACTCATACACATAAAATAAAAAGATAAAAAAAATTTCAAAGAATACAAAGCTACCATTATGTTAAAAATATGCTTACTAGGAGCCTGAAAAGAGACCCAACAATGCTAATTTCCTGTGTTGTGAGATTTGCTTTTTTCTTTCTAGGTACTTTTCTGTATAACATGTAAGTTTTTAGTGTATCTTACGTTTACAGTCAGAAAGTAGTACACTTACATAGGGAAGAACAGGTATAAGGAATGTTTATAGCGACAGGAGGAAATGCTCATGACCTTTCAATGGGAGTGAGGGAGCTAGGACAGGAGCACTGTGTGGTCACATTGTGGTGGTCATGCGTTAAGGAGGACCGCAGAACACACACTTCCAAAGGGGAACTGGGACTGTCTGGAAGAGGTTTTGGATGACTACTGTTTCCCCCTTTTTACTTTTGTGTTTTCCAGGTTTTCAACATTGAGCCTGTGTAACTTTTACTGGGAAAATAAACCTCAGTAAATTAAACAACAAAACAAAACAAAACAAATCGGTCATCACATACCCCAGCCCAACACAAGTGACACAATGACACCGAACTAGCACTGGAAGGACAAAGCTACACAGAGAAGGAATTAGCTGTTGGGAAAGGGCAGCAAACATGGATGGCAGCTCTCCCTCTGAGCTGAGGGTTTATGGCTAAACTATTCATTGTTTTCTATAGTTTGGTAAAAGACTTACTTTGAAAAAGAGGTAGAGCCCCAGGAGAGTGCAGCTGGCGATGATTGGGAAGCGGGCGGCGTCTCGGCTGGTGATGGTTTCTGGCATGTCGGAGGAGCTCTAGGAGAGAAGAAGGTGCAGCTGAGCCCCGGGACTGCTGGGGTGTGAGCAAGTGGCCTTTCCCTCTCCATGCTGCTCCACTCTGGTACCTCTAGGCTTTTCTAACGCTCTTCCCTCTGCCTGAGGTTGTCCACTTCCCCTTGGGGGAGGTGCTCTGGTGCCATTTTGCCACCGAGGAAACCTGGACTTGCACTAAGACAGTCCAGGGAGTGTCAAGAAGTGTGTGGGGTGTGTCTAGAGAGAATTATGGATGGGACGGTCATAGCTCACAAGCTCAAGGAAAAACCTGGGAACTGGTTACACAAGAGCAACTTCAAATCTCACAAACAGAACTATTATACTCACACACACACTTTTTTTTTGAGACAGGGTCTCACTATGTAGCTGACTGTCCTGGAACTCACTACAAGACCAGGCTGGTCTCAAACTCACAGAACCGGCTGCCTCTGTCTCCCGAGTGCTGAGATTATAGATGTGTGCCACCACGCTGGGTTTATACTTTTTTTTTTGAGGCAGGATCTTCTTACACAGCTCAGTTTGGTCTGTAACTTGTGATGTTTCTGCCTCAGCTTTGAAAGTGGTGGACCACCTGCCCGATCACCCATTTTCCTAGGGGTCAGCTAAGAGGGGAATGATTATTTTTTAACCAACAGGTAATGAATACCATGAATTGAAATAAACTAACAAAAGTAACAAAGGGGCTGGTGAGATGGCTCAGTGGTTAACAACCTGAGTTTGGTCCCTGGAACCCACATAAAGGTGGAGAGAACACCACAAAGTTGTCCTCTAACCTCCATGCACACAACCCCCCCCATCATATACACACACAATGAAAATAAATTACACACAAAAAAAATTCAAAACCGACAAAGGCTGAAACTGTATGCCATAAGCAGAAGCAAAACCAAAACTTAAGAAATGTGGCCAAAAGAGCTGGGCTGAATCTCCATGGAAGAGCACCTGGCAAGCACATACCAAATCCTAGGCTCCATTTTCAGATTCCCCGCTCCCCCTAAAAGTAAGGGTGACTGGGAGATCTCAAAGGCACAATTAAACTGTTCTAAGGGCAGATGCCATATAGCTGGCAAGAATCCTACCTGGGTAAGAAGCTGATGAAATAAAGAACTGAATGCACCCTGCTGGGGTGTCACACACCTTTAATCCCAGCACTGGGGAGGCAGACAGATCTCTGTGAGTTCAAGGCCAGTCTGTTCTATAGAGTTCCAGGTCAGCTGGGGCTACAGAGAAACCCTGTCTCAAAAAGACCCCCCCACCCAAATAAAAGAACTGGAGCAATAGTTTAACAAAAGGATTAAATCAGCTTTATAGAATTTATGTCAAAAGACTTTCTAGTGAAACTTAATTTGTGGCGTATAATTCTGGTTTAAAGTTTTCTATATGTCCTCTCTGCCATGCAAACCCTGTCAAGGGCCCAGCAAACATCTGTGTGGTGAAGCCCTTCTGGATCTGTCCACTGGGGATCTGTCCACTGCCTACTCCCCAACCTTTTTTCTTTGGGATGGGGATTTCTCAAACTCTCAACCTACCTGCTTCTTCCACCTGAGAAGCTGAGGTTACAGGTGTGCACCCCTGTGCCTGGCCCCCTCATTTATATCAGAGCTACTCAAAGTCCTAGCAATGCTAGATTCTGCTTCTGCCAAACTGAAATTTTCTCCACAGTACCACATGCTCATCACAGCGTCCGAGGCTCCACGTCACAACCATCTTGTGAATGAGGCCATCTGCCTTCCTGGGACAAAGGACTGCAGACAGCTGTGGAGTCTCATGAATAGTTTGGCTCACATCTGGCTCATCAAAATCATTAGGAAAAGAACACACTAAGAGGGCAGCTACCTGGAGAGGGTTTGGATCTGAGAAGCTCTTGCACATCAAGGTATGAGTCTGCAAAAGAGCAAGGAGATGGAAGAGCAGGCAGCGTGCCTGCGAAACTATCACCAGGAGTGGCCTGTGCATAACAGATGTGCACACACCACCTTCACGAGTACAAAGCCTGTGCAGCCTTTGAGGCCCATTTGGCAGGATACATGAAATCGTAATTCATACATGCCCAAAGACAGGAAGAAATTAACAGAACAGGAACTACAAATGGCTCTTAGTCACAGGGGAAAAAAGCTTAGTCTCACCTTTTTTTTTTTTTTTTTTTGGCATGTGTAATGTTTTGAGAGTGCATGTGTCCATGTGGAAGCCACCTTATATTTTGTGGCATCCATATGGAGGCCACCTTGTATTCTGAGACAGGGTCTCTCACTTGAACTCAGAACTCTTCAGTTCGGATAGTCAGACTAGCCAGCTTGTCCTAGGGATCCTGTCTCTAACCTCCTGAATGCTGGGATATATGTTAAAACCTTACTGCACACACTTTGATCAAACAACTCCAAGTGTGGTAATTTTCCTTACAGATGTTCATTGTTCTATCAATGGCTTGCTGGGTGACTGAGGCAAGTCATCTGTTCTGAGTCTCAGCTTATTCTTCTGTCAAACAGGGTGACAATCTCTTAGCTTTACTTACCTTAAAAAAAAAAAAAGGGCGAAGAGGCTGAAACTAAAGAAGATAAGGGATATGAAAGAAGCAAACTGACCTGTGAAGTGAATGGGAAAGCCCTTAGCCACCCCCCCACCCCCACCCCCACCCCCTGGGCTGAGGGCCGGGCTGGGCCGGGCTGGAAGGCAGGCCATCCCTCTGGAGCCCCTGTGTGAATTACTCTCCAGTTTGCCAGGGGTTGGGGGTGGGGAGTGACGCAATCCTGACAGGGAGGCCAGGTTTCCTTCCCTCTTCTCTGCCAGCCGTTGTCTGCTTTTGGCAGCAGTGTACAGTGACACTTGAGCAAGTACATCTCTCTGTGCACTGCCACGTGTTGAATACATTTCCTGTGTAGCAGCAAGTGTGGGCACAAAATAAACCAGACAGCTCCTACCTCAGGGAGTTCCCAGGCAGGTAGGCCAAAACCCTGCTAGCTAAACAAACTGCACACAGCAGTGGCAGTATGGTGTGTGAGGGCAGACATGCATACTCTCATATGGTATGGAGGCTGGATGGCTAGAAAGAGCAGGTCATGAGGCTAGGAGGCCCAGCCAGCCTTCCAGCTGCCCTACTCAGCTGTAGCACTTAGGGAAAGTGGTTGTCTCAAAGCCTTGATTTCTCTGACTGCAAAACAAGGACTCTTCTGCGGTGGAAGTGCTTTACAGTGCCTTGAGCCATCCTCTAAGCCCTGAATGCTATTTCTTCATTATCAGGCACAAAGGATCACGGGTAAGCTGACGACACTATTTCTGCAGGGATGCCTCACAGGTAACTAGAGCAGATGCAGTAAGTGTTGAAAGCCAGACCCAGGGTCTGGTATGTGGTAGGGGCTCATGAAGAGCTTGCTCTGTGTACAGAGCAGAACAGTCTCAGGCAATAACGGTGCACAGAGGCTTGGGGTTTGAAAACACACTTGAGACTTTGTGGCTTCCCTACAAACCAGTGCTGTGGCTCATTTTCACAAATTCCTTTCAGTTCAGCCCAGTACTGGGGCATGAAGAGGACTCAGATTATTCGATGACGAACCAAAGTTGGATTGATGCTTCAAGAAACAGAGGAATCTGGTCTCCTCTGTGGGTGATGGTTATAAGTATCTCATGCTGCATTGAGTCAGTCAATCTGCCTGGTAATAAGAGTAATGGGGGTAACACTTATGAGCACTTTCTATGTCTCAGGAGCTTGTGTACAGGGCTCCCTGCCACATCCCCTGGGCAGGTACAGCCATCCTTCAAGCCCTGAATGCTATTACACACCAGGAGACAAGACTCAAGGAAGGAAAGTAACTTGCTTAGTGTGACAAAGATGGTGAATGGCAAAGCAGAAGTCACACTGAGGCAGCCTGGTGGCTCACACCTCTGTCTTTCATATCTGGAGATTTCTGTCGCAAAGCTGTTAAAGGATGATGCTCAGGGGGGCTGTGACCTTCCTAAGGAACAGAATCCTGAAGATAAAGAACAGTTAATCTTTGCAGGTAAGGAGTACTAACACTTGTTAGGATTTCATACCAATTTGATTTGGATCTTTAAGCCAAAAACACTTGGGCAAATACAACAGCTCCTGTCATACAAGAGTATTAGAGAATGGGCAAAAAGCTCACACCAAGGGCCAAAATAGAGTCAGCTTCCAGCAACTGGCTGGGTATTCGGTTATCAGAGTGGAAGCGAAAGGAGCAGGGAAAGCCAGATGCCTGGCTCCAAGCCACTGGCACGGTTTGAGCTCTGGGAGGACTGCTTCCACCATGATCTGGAATTCCCGACCGCTCTACTACTCTCATGATAGATAGAGACCCTAGGCCTCCTGCACTTACCCCACGTTCACTCCCCTTGCCACCATTCTACTTCCTGACTATTCCCTGAACCCACCTTCTCCCCATCCTTGGCCCCACAGCTGGCTTCCCCCAACTGCACCAGCCTTTTTCTCTCTCCCTCCAATGGTGAGCGCTCTCTAAAGCCTACACCTGCCTGTGGTTAAGGCTTGCTTAAAGACCTCCAGAGTAGACTACCATGCAGCCCTTCAGCAAGCAAGGACCCCAGCAGAGTGTATCGATACTACCACCATGGCAGATCATTTTGTAAAGCCCAAGTAAAAATGCAGGTAGTCTATGACTCAAATTAATTTAAGAAAACTTATCCTACAAATACACAAATGTGAAATATGTAGATAAGGACATTAATTTAGCATGGTTTATTAAGAGCCAAGGACTGAACAAATTAAGTGGCCGTGGAGGTCTCTAAATTAGTGGCTCTTAAATTTTGAATGTGCATCAGAATTACCAGGAGGACTTGTTAAACACTTTGCTGGACCTTGCGCTTCTGATTTAAATTTACATTTCTCCAGAGTTCCCAGGTTGACGCCAATGCTGCAGGTTCAGGGTCTGCCCTTTCCAAACCAGTGCCCTGAACAAATGTGGTACCTTGCATCTAAGTCTCAGTACTTAGAAGGCGGAGGCAGGAGGATCTATGTGAGTTAGAGGCCCATCTTGCCTACCTAGTGAGTACCAGGCTAGTGACAGTCACATAGCAGCGCTCTGCCTCTACCCCCCACCCCACCCCCGCAATGACCATATCAAATGCAGTGGCGTGGCTGGTCTCCAACATACATTTAGTGATAAAAGCAAGGTGCAGAAGATTGTATGAACAAGAAAACACAGTTATATAACAAAAGCAGGCAAAAGAATACTCCTATTTGTAAAAGGCAGAATTTCCATGGATGGGCATATAAGACCCAGATGACAGGGGCTTCTCTGCTGGGGAAACTGGGCAGCTGGGTGGGAGCAGTCTTTCATCACACATCCCTCTGGGTTTTTTACATCGGGTAATCAGGGACCTAGCTTGCTACAAAAGAATGGGGTATATATAACACAGAAAAATGACCAATTCATACTGCTAAAGAAAACAAAAATCAAGCTGCAGTGTGTACGAAATAATTGCATTTTATAATAACGAATCTATCTCTGTATATATACACAAGCCTATATACTAGAAGGTGGGCTAGGGACATAGCTTGGTGGTAGAATGGACTCGGTATGTTTAAGGCCCTGGGTTAGATCCTGAGTACCACAAAAATGAAAAAGTTCTGGAAGGTTCCATACCAATCAGCTAGGGGGGAGGGGTACTTTCAAGGAGGTTTTCCTTTATGCTTTGGAACTGCTTGAAAATTTACTTTTTCTGTTGGTGCTCGGATTGCATTACCTTCAGGATTCGTTTCCTCAGAAAGGCTGCAGGCTCCGGTGCATCTTGTCACAGCACCCAAATCCCGCTCCTGGGCTCCTGCTAATGCTCCTCACTGATCCCTCTCCTCAGCCTGCTGAATTCTCACTCATGCATGCAAACACACCTGCTACCTCCTCCAGGAGACACAGCAGAATTCACTCTAGTCGGCCGCTCACACGTGTATCTCTCATCCCAGCACTCCTGGTACCTAGTCCAGGTCCTGACAGAGCAGATGCCCAAGTCTGCTGGTTAAGGGGTTCCTCTTTGCTATAGGTAAAGAGACACTGAACCAATGCAACATGCAGTTATTGCTTGGTCAGAATTTGCTCTCCACTGAGGACAGAGACGTCGGATACCCCTGGCAGGCTTAACATCTCTGCATATTCTACTTCTGCCCAGGACTTCACAACGTGCTGTCTTTTATAGAAACTTTGACCCCAGGGAATTGTCCTTGACTGCCCTCTCTCAGTAGGATTTGGTGTCTAATACCAGTTGGAGTGCCAAACTCCCAGGTCCTCATTCTAACTTTTCTCTCCTGCCAAAGGAGCAGGGTAGACAAGGGAATGATTTGCCTCATTATTTCCTAGGTCAAATGCTACTTCTGTTCAATCTTCAGAGGCATCCATATTAAGGATGGCACTGTGGTCTACAAGTACACCCACCCGCCTGGTTCATTCTCTCAATGGCCCTTCTTTTTGAAAGACTTTTAGAAATCATTTTTTGACCCGCAGTTTCTTTTTTTTTAAACAACAGAGGTAATAAACTGGCTCTGCTTGCCACACTTAGTACTGTGAACCTAAAAGCAGGTGAGGGTTTCACAAGCTTAGAGTACCCTGGTGAATCTGACTGGGAAGCCACTGGTAAAAGGTCAGATCCTGTTGTAGTTTGTCTTCCACGAAGGCCTCCCTGTAGGAGATGCTTGGAACAAATACCCAGAGCTTAAGGCTGTCTTCTATACACACCTTCTGCTCCAGCAGTTACACCAGATTATCTGCTGTTTCCTGAAGTGCCTCCTGCCCTTCTGGCTGAAATTCTACATCTCTATCCAGGCGGGAGGCCTCCCTGCCCTTCTCTACAGCCTGTTGTGGTGTTGCCTGCATTTCAATCACAGACCTAGTTATCTCTGTCTCATCCATCCTCCTGAACTCCTTGATAACGGAGCTCTGATTGATTCATCTGAGGCCTCCCTCATCTTAGACAACAGCTTCAGTTTAGGAAACACTGGTGTCTGAAATGTGTTTTCTGAAGGGATGAGTGGTCCATGTGTAGAAGGTGCCAGGGAGAACCATTGAGTCTGTGGTTCAGCCTCATGTCACACTGCCCTCCATCTCCTTTGTCCTGGTCTCTATTTCAAAACTTGCTTTGGCACCAAATATCTGCCTGATAGGTCTGGTAGAGAGGCTGAGGACACCTGAAATCTACTCAGAAGGGGCAGAGGATCGAAGAAAGGGGTCATGTCCAGGCCTTTCACCCTAAGCGCTGCTTGCCGGCTTTCCCTGTATCTCACCAGAGTCAGCATGTTTTCTGTTGTTGGGAAGAAAAATGGCAGTCCTCACTCAACCACTGCTCAAATTGGGCGAGGTACTGAGAACCTGAACTGAATCAGTTTCAGAAATGTCAGTTGCCCTGTGGGCCTCTCTGGGTAAAACAGCTTCCTCTGGACTCCACCTTCAGGTTTGGTGGGGGAGGGGCAGGGGAACTGCATACTTCCAGGCTGAAGAGGAGAGAGAGATGGGAGGTGAGAAGCCTGAAAAACCCTTGGTTCAGCGGGCTGCAGAGGGCTTAATATAGGAAAGAAATTGGGGGCAGGGAGGGTTGGGAGAGAGTGAGGTAGAAGGCGGTGGGTGCTGGAGTCCCGTTGGGTATCCAATGGGGCAGATGTCATGGAAGGCCGAGGATGGAGTCTGGCTTTCTCATAAAGGGGCCAAGAATGGCTGTTACTCAGCAGGTGGCTCAATGGAGGGGGGCTAGGAAAAAAGGCTATTTTGATGTAGGGTCAGGGTAGGACTTAGGAATAGGGTCTGGCTTTTAGCTAGGATAGGTCCAAGGCTGGGTGGTAAGCAGGGAAAACCCATCAAAGAAGTCTATACCTGAAAATAAATGGGGGGGGGGGTCACAAAGGTGCCACATTCCAAGGAGTTAACTGGTTGGAGCTCGTTCTAGAGGGTAAACAAAAGATGGAAAGCTGAGCTCATGCTATATTCCCCCCCAACAGCCCCTCCTCCTTTCCCCTGGGCAACAGGGTCTCTCTATGTAGCCTAGTGGTCCTAGAACTTTTGATTCTCTTGCCTCAGCTTCCTAAGTGCTAGGATTACAAGTGTGCACCACTATGTTAGGCTGCTGCTTCCTTTTTCTTTTTTAAGGTTTACATTTATTTATTTGTGTGTTGGGGGTGGGCAGGTCATCAGGCTCAGCAGCAAGCATCTTTAAGCGCTGAGCCATCTTGTTAGCTGAGGATTTTGTTTTTAAGGCAGGGACAAGGGTCTGATCAAGGAATTCCTGGTGGGCACACACCCAGCCAGGATTCCGGGGATGGGTCTGGATGCTACAATGGCTGTGGGTGGGGCCAGGAACGGCTCCCAGCAAAGGGTAGAAAAAGATGGTACCTTTCGGTTCCAGGAGCCATACCTGTCAGGCACACATTGGGGCTGACTCAGAGCCAGTGAGGGGTGATTGCCCCCGGTGGGGTGCGAATACCTGGCCTGCTCACCAGCACAAGCCACAGAAGGTGGGGCTGGTCTGGCAGGGCCTGACAGGCTGGGAGGAATCGGTGTCTTTGTCTTTGTTTATGGGTATCAGTGCGTGCCCCGTCTTTGTGTGTGGGTCGGCTGAAGGTAGCTATGGCATGATGCAGGAAGCGGGCGTGTATGTGTGTGTGGTCGGCTGAAGGTAGCTATGGCGTGATGCAGGAAGCGAGCGGGCGTGTGTGTGTGTGGCAGGGTAGGTGAGCGGGTAGAAACCAGTCGCTATTTAAGAAAGGTGTGTGTGTGTGTGTGGCGGGGTAGGTGAGCGCGTAGAAACAAGTCGCTATTTAAGAAAGATGTCAGTCCCCAGTTCTGGGAGTGGCCAGCCCCAGAAATGTGGACGCAGATGGGGGGAACGGTGTCAGCACAGGGATGGGTGCGCAACCCCGGCGAGGAGGCATCTATGGGGTCTGCTGGGAAAGGTCCATGAGGCCTCGACCGCGATGGGAGAGCCGGGTCCCGCCGCGGATCCTACCTTGCCGCGGGCGCAGCGCACCGAGCGCAGGGCGCCGAAGAAGATGGGCAGCAGCGCCATGAGCAGGAGGCTGCCGTAGGCCAGCGCGATGCCCTCGGGCGTGGACGGCGGCCGCGCGGTGCCGTTGGTGGGTCTGCTGGCCTCGCTGCTGCCGTTGTGCGGGTCGCTGAGGGCCGAATCCATGGCTAGGCTGCGCTCGGGCTCCGACTCCAGCTCCGGCCGCTGCAGCAAGAACGCAGACGGAGGGTCAGGCGCAGCGGTGAAAGCCACGTTCCCCTAAAGAAACAGGAAGTGACGTGTTCCTCTCGCCTTTCCTTGCTGAGACGTGAACGCGCGCGCGTTCTCGCCTCCCCCCCGACCCGATCGCCCCCTAGTGGCGGTGGAGGGAGGCGCTGAGCGTTGCTCAGCAACTCTGGACCAGTGCGCCCGCATCCATCCTGCATCCATCCTGAGACTTGAGGGCACAGCCCTTCCTCTGGTCCCAATCGGTTTCTTCAATGCTGGGCTTCCCTACTCTCCACAAATCCTCATCCGACTAGGAATTTATGCTCGAATTCATTCGATACTCAATTGTTCATTTGCTCCTTAAATATTTATTGCGTGTCCCGCTTTTCTGTTAGGTACTCTCCTAAGGTGGGGACACTGAAGTGAACAAGAAAAGTTTGTCCTTGTACTCATGAAGCTCACATTATAGTGTGCAGGCGTTGGAAGAGGAGAGGATGATAAGACAGTAAAACAAACAAAACATTATAAAGTCCAATATGACATCTTTTAGTTCCAGCTCTTGGGAGACAGAGGCAGGCAAATGTCTGTGAGTTCAAGGCCAACCTGGTCTACATAGTGAATTCTAGGCCAGCTGGGACTACAGGGAGACCATGACACAAAACGATCAAAAAATTATTTTTATGTGTATGAGTATTTTGCTTTCATGTTTATAAGTGCACCATGTGCGTGCAATGCCAGCACATACCAGAAAAGGGTATTGGATCCCCTGGAACTGGAGTTACAATCAGTTATTAGTCACTATTTGGGTCCTGGGAACCGAACCTAGGTCCTCTGGAAGAAAAGCAAGTATTTAAAATGTAATATGTCAGCATATAGTTATGTGTTACAAACCATGTTAATACAGATAAATTAGAGAAAAATAAAGCAAAATAGGGATGAGGGACAGCATGAGGGATTTGCAAATGTATTAATTGCTTACCAGGTGCCAGGCAATAAAAATTTCTTGCCAGTTCATAACCCCATGCAGTTGATAAAGCTCTGTGACTCTTATCATAACTGGAAGGAACTATTTAGGCTATTTCCAGTACTTATTTTATTTATTCTTAAAAATAATTTATTTTTTTAAAATTTTATGTGTATGAGTGTATTGCCTGCATGTATGTGAGTGCACCAGTGTCATGCAATGCCACGGAGGTCAGAAGAGGGCTTCAGAGCCCCCTGGAATTAGAGTTAAGGACGGTTAGTAGCTGCCATGTGGATGCTGGGAGTCTAACCCGAGTCCTCTGCAAGAGCAGTCAGTGCTCTTAACCTCTGAGCCATCTCTTCAGCCCCCGTTTTTTATTTTTATGTGTATGAGTGTTTTGCCTGCATGTACATAAATGCACCCATGCATGTAGTGCCAAGAGAGACCACAAGAGGGTGTCAGATCCCTTGGAACTAGAGTTACTGACAGCTGTTGTATGGGTGCTGGGAAACAAACCCTGGTTCTCTGTAAGAGTAGTCAGTGTTCTTAACCACTGAACCATCTCTCCAGCCCCAATTTTCAGTACCTTTAAAAAAAAACCCGAAAACTTCATATGCACATGACAACAATTCAACAGGACAAAAGGCGGTGTGAAAGGAAAATTCCCTTTTTTTAGGTCCCTTCCCCTACTTTCTTGAAGGCAATTTTACTCTTTAGAAAAATTATTTTTGGCTTTTTTTTTTTGGTCTTTTTGAGACAGGGTCTCCCTGTAGCCCCAGCTGTCCTGGAACTCACTATGAAGACGAGGCTGGCCTTGAACTCACAGAGATCTACCTGTCTCTGTCTACCAAGTGCTGGGATTAAGGGCATGCACCACCACGCCTGGCCAATTTTTTTGGCTTTTTTAAGAGAGGGTCTCCCTGGAGCCTCAGCTGGGCTGGCATGGAACTTACTATGTAGACCAGGTTGGCCTCCATCTCACAGAGATTCATCTATCTCTGCTTCCTAAGTGCTGGGATTCAAGGTGTGTACCACCACACCTGGCTGGCAATTATTAATAGTTTCTTGTGTATCTTCTTTTTGAGACAGGGTCTCGTTATATAGCCCCTAGCAGACCTGGATCTCTCTTATGTAGACTACTTGCCTCTGCCTTCTGAGTACTGGAATTAAAGGGGTGAACCACCATGTCTCTCTCATTTTTCTTTTGAGACACGGTCTCATGTAGCCCAGGCTGGCCTGGCTATGAACTTGGCTATGAACTTGAGGATGACCTTGAACCTCTGATCCTCCTGCATCAACTTCCCCAGTACTGGGATTACAGGTGTGCTCCACTATGCTCAGTTTGTGCAGAGCTGGGGATGGAACATAGGGCTTTATGCATGCTCAAAGGAAGCCTGACATCTAAAGAGGGACTAAGGGAAACAGTGCATGGATCAGAATCCCAGGTAGGGATAGGCACAAGTATCCTGAGGTGAGGAAAGGCTCCAAACAATGATTAGATATGCTACATGGTGCCAAATGAGGTTGGATTGGCTGCTATGAGGCATGTCACATTGGGCATAGCTATTACATAGGTTTTATTCTGAGAGTAATGTGGGGATAGTTCAGAGTATTATGTAGGAATTTATATATGCATATGTCTACTTAGAGAGAGACAGAGACAGAGGGGGCAGGGGTAGGGTACCTCACATTGATCTTAAACCTGTGATATTCCTGATTCAGGATCCTGAGTGCTAGAATTACAGGCATGCACTGACATGACTGGTTCCATTCAATGAATGATTTAAAGAATATCTCATTTGATTTTTACGATCAAATCAAAACTAAATTACCCTTTAGCACACAGAAAATTCCTGAGACCTCTAGGCATGCTACTGTGGCCCTAGTCAAGGCATGCCATGGAAAAAAATAGGAAAAAGCTGTGTCCTACAGGTGCCTGGTGCTGGAGAGACTATGTGCCAAGCGAGTCCATCTGAAACTTGGAAGATCCAAACTGTCTGAGACTCTAGTGAATGCTACTGAAAAAAAAAAATCTTAACACATGTCAGTTGGCAAAGGACAGATATTTACAAAGCCCAATTCTATTGCAACAGAGCAGACAAAAAAAAGTTAATTTGAAACTGAGGTTCAATAAGTTGATAAAAAGTGCAGACGCTACAAAATCCCATGGCCAACTTCAGGCTTAGAAGGTAGTATACGCCAGACGCTGTACCAATAACTATAATATTTTATTTGATCCCAGTAATATCTGTAAGGAGTGATTGGTTCCATTTGACAGTTGAGGAAACTGAGTCTCAGAGAGGCAAAGTTGCCCACCTAGATGACAAAGTCAGTTATGGAAGAATAGAGCCTTGAATTTAGGTCTGTAGACTTCCAATGCCTCTGCTCTTGCCAAGAGCCCAGCTACATAGAAGGCTGAGGAGTGCTTCATGAATTCATCAATAATTTAGGTCACAGAAGGTACCCAGGAGTCAGGCATGGTGGGTTGGGAGTCTCTTCATCTGAGAGCTCAGGATTAAAATTTGGAGACTGTTTTGCTTCCCACTGGGTTGAGCCATAAATTGAGTTTGGCCTCAGACAAATCTGGCATCTCCCCTAACCCTCCTGGAGAGAAGGCTATGAACTGAGCCAGAAAATCCAGGGGCTGAGCCAAGCTCAGAAAGCTCCTGTCAAAGCTTCTGCATAGAGGGTTGAGTTTCTGGCTTGGAAATAACCTGTTGCTATTCCCTGGAGAGAAGGGTGAGGAAGTTGGAGAGTGAGTGCCCCAAGGGGAAGTCTCCTATATGGGGTTACTTTCTTTGGGGGGGATCTGAGCTGAGGTCAAGAGTCTAGAGTCTGAGGTGGTTAGATTACCAAACATTTATTCCAAAGAAAACTGCAACGATGCCTCAGGCCCCATTTTTCCAGGAATGGGCTTTACACACTTTCTATTTGTTCCTCACATACGTTCATCTACATTTGCAAGTATACTTCCATGCCCTGTTAAGTGTATCTAAAGGCACTTAAATTTTCTTTTCTTTTCTTTTTCTTTTTTGGTCTTTTTGAGACAGGGTCTGCCTGTAGTCCCAGCTGGCCTGGAACTCACTATATAGATCAGGCTGGCCTCAATCCCACAGAGATCCACTTGCCTCTGCCTCCCGAGTGCTGGGATTAAAGGCTTGTGCTACCACACCTGGCTGGCACTTACATTTTCTATAATAACTCACAAGGATCATCAGTGGATGCAAGAACATTGGGAGGCAGATTGTTGAGGAACAGGGTACTCACACAGCCTTACAGTGTCACCTTGGAGATGACTTAATGTGCCGGATAGCTTTAGTGTTAACTTAACACACCTGGGTTGAGGGAGCCTCAATTGGGGAATTTCTTCCACAGGACTGGCCTGTGGCCAGGTCTGTGGGGCATCTTCTTGATTGTTGACTGATGTGGGAGGGCCCAGCCCACTGTGGGTGGTGCCATCCCTGGCAGGTGGTCCTGTGTTGTATAAGAAAGCAAGCTGAGCAGGGGCTAGTGGAGCAAGCCAGTAAGCAGCTTGTACTTCAGCTCCTGCCTCCAGGTTCCTGCCCTGAGTTCCAGAGGAATAGTTTTTTTTCGCATGGGCAAAGTTCCCTTGGGGGAGGGAAAAATGTCCACCCATGGGTTGTGAGCTGGGGTCTTTTATAGAGGGAGGCTTTGGGGGGTGCAGAATGTGGGAAGATATATTTTTTAACCATGGGGGGGCGGGCGGGAGAGCAGGACTGTTAAAACCTGCCCCCCTTTGAGATCAAAGGAAAAACCTGCTGTGCTGACCAAACCGTGCAGAAAAAAAGTCTGCTTTTGACTTCAAAGACTAGGGTGCTTATCTCGGGGACTTTGCTGTGGATCTGAACCCTAACATTCCAGCCTTGTGTTATAGGATAGCCCCCCCCATTGTCAGTCTTGCTACTTCCTGCTGGACAAGGTTGATGTGGAGGGGACTGGATTAAGGGTCGATCAGACAGCGGGGATTCCCTCTTTGTGCATCTCAATAGGGTCCTCGATAGATGACAGATGCTCGTATACATGTGGAGGGAAGGAAAGTAACAACTGATTAAAATTAGTATGAGAGTAAGAGTTAGTTTTGGGATTTTGGTCCT